CACAAATTCCTCTTTTTAGGTAATAATTTGTTACCAGCAGCCAGGCAGGGCTTCGATAATGTGACAAGTCACGAGCTTGGCCACGTTGTTGAGGAGGGAAGATTGCTGCACAAGCTGACAAGCATCCATACATGTATATATGTACCGTGGCGATGATGGCTTTTAAGACAACCCGAGATGATAAATGGGGTAGCACAAGGATAACTGATGTTGGTGCAGCACTATGTACCTAGGTATGTACGAACAATTGATGTTGGTGAATGCGTAATGCGACCGGCCCTCAGCCAGGTTCTCGTGGTTCTTGTCTAGCGTTAGTCCTTGTCAAATATGTATAGCGTAAGTAAGTTAGCTTAAACCTATTGTTAGATATGTGCATTATATTGTATGGACGGATATCCAGGTAGGTACCTGTTTGTGTTCAAATCCGACTTCAGGGAAATCAATGTGTCAGATATTCTATCTGTCCGATACATATAAAACATAAAACATAATAGAATAAAATCTATTAACTACCAAATAACCTTTTAGTGTTAGTGGTATAGCGGTGTGTTCGACACAATGTGCCCTCAATTGCAAAAGACGTTGCAAAAGACCTATTGGTACTTCCCTGTTTCGTACCAGACTACCTAGGGTACAAGGTACCTACCTATGTAATCTAGGAAGTAGCCGCGTACCTGGCACAGTCGCAACTTCAATACCGGAATTACTGTGTTAGGTAATGCGTCTGTCGTAAAAGTCACATGACATATAGGCGCTATACCCAATAGCATTTTAGGTGCTAAATTCCAGGCCGCATCAACGGCCATAAACAAGTACTGTACAAAACTCTTACACTCCTATGTAAACAATAACTGGCCAATCTTTAAGCCTCACCATATCCCCGCGAAAACATGACAGGCTTAAAAAGGGATGCCACAGCCAGGGCACTCGATCGGCATTGTCTTCTTTTGTTTTCTACAACTGTAAGAACACAGGTAAGTAATCCCAAAAATACCCTATCTCTAAAGTATCATCCTCAAATCAAAAATAGTTTACCGCCTTCTCGTTTATCCAATGAGAGACAGCCAGCCTCGCATAGCCGCCCAACTGGCCAAAACATCTAAGCGCTTAGACATCACGGCGTCTGGGTGTATAGCTCGTCGCTCAAGTATACACTAAAATATATGCGTTCGAGAAATTTCCCTCCGCGCATGAGCGTAATTCAACGTCGCGGTGATGCTCCTCTGCATCCCGCGCACGTCTGTCTGCTATTTTTGTCCTAGATCACTTGCAGAAAATCTGCCTGTCATACCCTCCCGCCTGCCGCTGTCATAATCCTCCCTGCAAGGAACCAAAGCGACACTACTACCCTATAACCAGGCTATCTTCGTCTGGTTGGGTACCCGCAGTCTGGGGAAAGCCAAATGCGCGGGCGTTTCGCCGCCATGTACAGGAACCTCGAACGGCGGCGCCCCTGTCGCTGCGAGAAGCGCCTACGAGTCGCCATCTTGCATACCAGCTAGCTTCCAGAAGCGCCTGCAGACCACCAGCCTATCATTAATTCGCCAGTTTTCCATCGTCATTGATGTTCATAACAAGTAGGCTCAGGGACAAGAGGCTCAAGTGGCTCACTCTGTGTACCAAGGAGCTGGCGAGCCGTACGCAAGATCTACCAACCGCCAGAGGTACATGCACATGGGTATGTCGTTATCACATTCCCCCTATTAGTGTACCTAACAGTACAGGGCAGAGTCAAGCTTTGGGACTTCTACGCCCCTGTGCGGCCCAGCCTTACCTACCGCTTGTGACGTATCTTACTTGGAGATTCTAGTACCACGAGGGATCTACTAGGGCGTTTATTTTTGGAGGTCGTTACTAAATTAAGAGATAGCCTCAATCTGCAGCCGCTCGCGAGCTGCAAGTGTTAATTAGACGTCACCTCCTGAAATGAAAATACCGAGCTTCCCTAGTTTTTACACAACGATATACAACGTGACTCCCCTTGGTCCATAACTACCTTAAGCGCGCTCAGCTAATAGAGCATATTGACTTTAAGCTAAGAACTTCCAACTTGCCATCTTGTTTCACTCGTATATATATTTCCCTCCAATGGGAAGCGGTTCTACTTGACTCACCGCCTATCTACTGGCGGTTACTTTCTGCTCTATCAATCTATTCTGTTTCAAGTTCATCCAAACGGCGTTTCCCCTTTATATCCTATTGCCCACGAGCGGCTGAAGAGGTTGCCTATTGTCCTCGACACTACTCCGCAAGAGCAAGGTTACGCTGGTCTCCTATGGATATCAAATGAAACAAAGTATCACTGCAAGGCAGTTATATAGCCCTATAAGCGCGATATAGACTAGGGATGACCCACTCCTGGGACTGAAGTAACCATACACTATAGTCGTTGAGAGGCAATTTTATTCTAAATGACTCACCAAGTGTAATAAGGCCTCCAGGCGCATCAGGAACATTACCGCAGATCCGTTCGAAGATGTGGAGAATCTAGCAGACGTCCCCGGTTTCTAATATCTTGATGAGGATAATGATAGTCTTCATTATAACACGATTTATAATGTAGTGATCGAGGTCTTATCTAGCTCGCTACCGCCGTTGTTTCCTATACCTTGAAACCGCTCGATTCGATTCGCCAAGTATCGAGAGTCCGTCCGTCGAAAGGTACCATAGCTTGATTCGTCTATAATCGAACCGAGCTTGCCGGCTACCAAATTACAAGGGGTAGCTTGGGTAGTATCACGCAACACCCCGGATATTTCTAGTGCAGCTCACAATACTCGGGGTTTAGTCCCCTTTGACGTCCCGTATCATCGATGCCCAACGCTATTAATATACGTAGAAGTGGGAAGTAGATATTGTCCGAGGAATGAAGAGGCCGTCTCGCCACTCAAGCAGTTTCACCCACCCCTTCTATTATTAGTGATAGAGCGTACCTAGTGATAGTAAATTGGCCATGTTACGCAAAGAACCATAAACCTAGGTACCTAGCTACTCATCTCAGGGTTACAGGTATACGCACGTGGGGCTATTCCTTTTCTAAGACGTCGTAGGGCAGTCTTGTGATAGGTTCCCTAGCAACATCGTGATGTGACTTGCAGGTGTTACGTATGTCTTGATATCTACGATTTAAATCCTCATGTACGATAAAAGCACTAAAGCTTTAGCTTAAATATTGGCTGCTAATGCTGAAAGATGCGAGAAAACTATAAAAGAGAAAGGATAATTGGTGAATAGGCCCGCCCTGGTAGATATAACGAATTTGGCAGCTAACGGTAGGCGAGTTGTGAATTGAGTCAACCGGAATAAGCCAAAGTAGAATTTCCTATGCTGCTTACCTGCTTCAATTAGTATGGAATATTTATTATGAATAAATACCTCGGGGCTTTTAATTCATAATCTCCATACCGTATCCTATCCCAGCTAACGGAGCGCATCGGTACAGTTCGGGGCTTGCGAAAACGGGCAAGTCGTGCCTGGTTTAGGAGATGTTACGAGCGAAATTGTGTAAGGAAAATGCCCTTCTCTACCGATATTTACCGGTATATCTTACCATATTTCGTTTATTCTAGCTCCCGAACTAATGCGGATCATCAGACTCGGCAGGGCTCGGAGCCTTCGGGGGCCTCGGATTAGGGGGCCGGACCCCGGAGACATGATATAATCAGCGCAAAGGTCTTACCTTGGGTAAATATAAATAATACTTATGAAGTCCTGATCTTCGGGGGTAATATCAATACGAATCATTAGAATAAATCCCCTTTAATTAAAGTCTAAGCAACCTTAAGTTTCTACCTAGCATCAGAAGAAAAAATGGCATCTTCTACTCCGACAACTGCTATCAACGAGTAGGAACTCCCTCACTTGAGCTTCCGCTCGTATGTCCAGGCGCTTAAAGAGGATGGCGATATCGTCGAGACCAACATGGGATGTGATCCGCACCTCGAAGTCGGTGCCCTCACCCGGAAGGCCCTCGAAGACCAGGAGCGGGCCCCCTTATTAAAAAAAAACTAAAAAAAACTCAAGGGTCAGAACGAGAACTGTCTCTGGCGTATCCTGGGAGCGGTTAATGGGCTCAGGCCGCACCCCGAGCAGGTGTTTGGCCGCGTGGCTAGACACATTGGCTTGGACCCTACGGCATCCGCCAAGCAGATAATGGATAAGGTCATCGCAGCCAAGAGCGCTGCGCCTATCCCTCCGAAGATCGTCGAGTCTGGTCCCTGCAAGGAGTTTCGCCTTAAGTAAAATAGTAAATATATACGTTGCATTTATACAGACTGGCACTATCCCCGTGGGTTCGATTCTGATTATCTATTTGGTAATTTACTCGAGGAATGGCATGGGTTTTGGCATAACAAAGTCGGACACACCCAAGAACGTAACCCCGGAATCGAGGGAGTCTAACCACTCGGCCATGTTCCATGACCTACGACCATGTTAGCTGCGTAATGGGGAGATAAGAAGGGCAGTCTTACTCAAGTTGGCTAGTGGAGCTATCTGGCTCAACTAAGAGTCTCATTTCATCCATTTGTGCAGAATTACCTTGTAACTGAGTATTTAGAAGTTCTTCTGGTTGGGTTTGCGATGCTGTTTCCTGCTCTTTTAATGCCTTCATGGTTTGTAGAGCCCCTAACGCCTTATTCAATGACCCTGACAGCAAGCTAGCCTCTGCTGAGCCGGAGTCCAAACAGTAGTCTTTCTTTTCCTGCTGGAGGCCAGCAATCAAATTTTCTTGGAGCAACCTGATCTTTTCATTGTGCCTAGTTTCCTTCATCGAGCTTAAGAGGAGGACGGACGTTAACCCGTTGTGAATAAATGCCCACGATCGTCTGGCGAGAGGGCTTATAGTTCCTGTGCTTATGTAGGCCCAGCTACTACGTTTGAGAGAAGTCTGGAGACGTTCTAGCACACATCGATTCTCGGAATCGCCAATCCTAGGACTCGACCTGTCTGAGAGGAACGAGCGGCAAATTACTGAAATGACGAAGTTTTTATGTATAGAGAAGGCGTAGCATTCCTCAACATCCGGTGCAGAGCTACAGAAATGCCGGTTTTTTTAGATGCGGAGAAAGGGACAGATCAATACGGTCAATCTTGTCCAAAGTAAGCAGCGAGGCAGGTGGTGTAATTCTTTTTTGAGACTCTAGATGCCGTATCCCAAGATGGCCAAGCCAGCTCATAGCTTGTCGGTACGTCAAGCCTCCACCATCGTTCCCGGGCGTAGGAATAGGTAGATCTTCCTCAAAACTCATATTACTGCACGACGGGTGGTGTCCAAGAGCCATAGAGAGTAGTGTCTCCCGCCGCACAATAGCAAGTCTAGTCGGATGGATCAACGACTTAACTGGGTATAGGGTTGGAACTGGTTAACACATACCGCAAAAGCATCGCATCTTCCAGGGTCACAGATGACGGTCTGGATCCGGGTTGTCGTATATGGATAGACAGACTTTGTGCAAGTCGTATCGTTATACCCACAAGAGCCCCATGCTGCTTAGGGTTCAATTTCGCCTTGAAGTATGTTACCTAGTAGTAAGAGCGCTTGAATAGCCTCTTTGGAGGGCCGAGCAAGGTAATCTGTCCTCCTAAGTAGCTCAAATGAGAGTCTTGCTTGTTATCGTTAGTACTCTAGATATAGAACATTGCCTCTATCTGTAGGTACCTACTATGTTCCCGTGATAATAAAGACCGCCGTTCTAGAGACATCTCAGAGAACTGCGCTCCAGATGCCAATACGACATGTAATAAGCAAGCAAAGCCATTGAGGAACTTTGTCCACCTCTAGTCCCGGTTTAGCCCCTGGATTGTGTCTAAACTCGATGATAGTGCACAGTCGCTTCTCTATCTGACCGAGATCGATAGGAATTGTGTTAAAAGGGTGGACACGACGCTTGTAAGATTAGAACAGAGCGTAAACGTCTTGTTCAACATATAAGAAATCATTGAGGAAACCATCAAAAAGCGCCACAAGTAGATTAACACTCATATTATAATTTATGCCTAATAGAGGTAGAACCCCCGTCTCAAATGCCGAACGATTACCGGGACGATCGGTGATATATGAAGAGGACTCTTGAGTAACAGTCGCGAGTGAGGTTGCTTGCGGGAGATGAGGATCGACTGAAATTTCATCACTAGTGAATCCAAGATGGTGACTATTTGTATCTGTGACGAGTTCTATGTTCTATAGGTGGTGAGGGTACGCTAGAAATTCCATCAGCTAGAGCCGATGGTGCTGTTGCCAGCTCCCGTTCCGTGCTATGGCGTCGTGGTCGTGATTCGCGGTAGGCGCACAAATCCGGATAACCTCGTCTACTGCACTTCGTGCATGGATATCCCCTATCACACATTACTTTCCTTTCTCGACACGGATCGCAGCTTTTACGACTCCTAGCCTCCTGACGACTACGGAGGACCTCCCTTAGACCACCGCGAAGAGTAGTCCTCGGGGCTTGCTGGCGTCGGAGTCATCATCGTACCGCGGTTAACAGTACCTTGATCGTATATAATTAATTACTTGTAATGGAGCGACAGGAGAAGGTCTATGATTATTACGGACTGTAAACGGCAATGAAGTCGCATTATGCATGAGCTGCTGAATCATCCCTAAACCCGCGTTGTGTCCTTACGAGTATTACCCCGTATTACTCCTGCTTCCCCCCTGTTAAATATGTAAATTTTGAGTTTCTTTTCTCATTACGGAATAGAATATTAGAATTGAAACTAATGTCAACATCAGAATTTGCCCACCTATCGTCATGTCACAATAATCCAAGACGCGTCCCGTTGAACGGAGTGGGACAAAAAGAAAAGAATTGACACAAAAAAGATAAGACGAGCTCGGCAGGGATCGAACCTGCAATCTTTAGAGAACCGGAAAATTGGACCGAAATCTAACGCCTTACCATTAGGCCACGAACCCGAATGTGCAAAATCGCGGTTTATTGCGCACTATATCTTTTTCTTTTTTTCGCTGTGGAGAGCGGGTACGATGTGGATATAATGATTCAAGATTTATTAACTACACCTCGGTACGAAGTAGAACACTAGAATTATATAAATGTGCTATAATGGGAAAGTGGAGTTTCGCCTTGAAGTATTTCATTGGTGGATCGGGGGAATGAATTAGAAAATAATTATTAGTAGGTCAGTGTAGTAGGTACATACCACAGTCTAATTTGAAATGAGGTTTAATACTTCGTAGCTTCACCTCACCTATGTAGGTACAGTACCTAAGGTAGATTTCTTTGGTGTCCTCCTCATGTACCTAATAACGTACCTCCCCCACTTCCCGCTCCCCTTCTCTCCCATTACTTCTTCTCCCTCTGTCGGTCCCCTCGGTGCGTACTCGTCCAAGTCTATATCTAACTCTCTCGTAGTCTCGAACCCCAATTTCTTATACGCTTCGTACGCCTGATGCGATGAGTGTACCCAAATGGAGAGGCCCAGGTCGTCGGCGATAGTATTCCCGTATCGCATCAGGGCAGTACCCACACCTCGGGATTGGTGTGAAGGTGACACGGTGAGACCAATAACGAAGATGCAAGGTGTGTCCGAGGGGACCAGGTCAGATAGCCAGAATTGCATATCGGCGTCTTCGAGGGCGTGGAGACGATCGATAGAGTTCACTTTCTTCCCTTCCGCATCCTCATTCTCATCCTCATTTTCCAATTCGTCATTTCTCGTTTGCCGCTGCTCTTCCCCTCCCCCTTCCCCTTCCGGCTTCGCGTCTCCGGGTCCATTCCACGGAACCAGCGCCGGATCTAAGCCCCTAAATGCCCACCCGGCATGCCCAACGATTTCGCCTGTTTCGTTATCTACGGCCTTGACGTAGATGTATGTTTTCCTGTGGAGAGTATCTAGAAATCCGGAACGGGAGATGTCGTACATATCGAAAGGCTTCCGACCTAATTGCTTTACGATAGTGTGGGGATCGACGGAGAAGGCTGATGAAGTAATACGGGCGCAGGCGGGGATATCGGTGTAGTTGAGGGGTTGGATGGAGATCGAAATTGGCTTGCCGGAAGACATGATGCCCGGTAGTGCTGCTGTGAATACCGAGTGGGAGATATTGGCAAGTTCTTTACTTGGTTACCCTAAGCAATCTAGGTAGGTGTATAGGCAGCTATGTCAGAATAGCCGGTTCGGGTTGCAGATGGGTCCGTTGGTTCGGAATATTTCCCCGCTTCCTACGGGGTGGCCCGGTGTCGTTCCCCGAAGCTATCTACCTGGTGGCTGTGTATGTAGCCTCGATTACATAGCACGCTGTACTTCGCTTTACTCATGTTTGCTTTTTGAATGAAAATGATACACTACGCTGATATGACTACCTAAGGTATAGTCTATTTAATGCCTCCGAGTAAGTAAGTGTCTTAAAGATGAGAGACAAAACTAAAGATATGAAGCCCGCCCTTTGAGGCAGTTGAGTTACGGTACTCAGTACGAGCTTGATATCTTCGAGCCAACTAAAAATATGATAGAATATTCAAAAAGATGCGGTATAAGGGGAATCTAACCCCTTCATGTTGGACTCGCGGGGAATCGAACCCCGGACCACTCCCATGCTAAGGGAGTATTATACCACTAAACCACAAGCCCCAACCAATTTTCGAACCGGCATCCTTGGAAGATACGATTCGTGTCGAAGATTTTGGTATCCAAACTTTTATACTCACTGTGCCGGATGAAGAGGTAGCGTGCCCTAATCGACGAAGTGGAGCCTGCTTAGCGCCCTCCGGTTGTATTTACAACCATCCCGTTTCCCTTACTACCTATGTAGGCCTGGCGGAGTGGGTTTAAGTACAGATATTAGGTGGTATTAAATAGGTAGCCAATAACTGACTTCTAGTATAGAGACAAGCTCTGTAGGAGATTTAGTTGACTATGCCAAGTTTCAAGTGTGATATCAGATTAGTCCGTCAGATGTAAGAACAAATAATGATTATGTAAAGATGATGGTAATAGTATGAACAATAAGCGTTAGTTATATGGAATATATTACTAAGAAGTTGATGATATCTTCACATCACCACAAGAGTATTAAATGGTGAGTGTAGCTAAGTCAAGCGACTGACGAGAATAAGTAAATTGTAGTTTTGAGTATGCTATGAAGTTAAAGGGCGAAACCATACTGCTGGATTGTTTTTTCTACTAGCCATTTACTTAAGACACATGAGGCCCGCGTTGCGTTTGAGTAAGTTTCAACATCACAAAAATCCTAACTGGTTCACAAGTATCAAGTCTATACTGAGTACATACCGGAGTTATATATTCAACATTGGTGGAAAAACCTACGCCGGACTCATTCTGATCATGAAAATGATTGTTAAGACTGTGTACGTCATGTTGCCTGTACACCGGCTGAGGTTTTTCGGGCCAATAGTATTATTACCGGAGATGCCGGACCGGCAAATTCGGATTGGGCTGTCGGGTGAAGCATAGTCGGAATGAATACTACCGGAAAGGCGTTTTAACTACCGCGGCTTCTAGGTCTAGCATCTTGCAACTCGATCTGAGTCTCGACCCCGCTGTCAAGGGAAGATACAAAAAGGGAAGGATGATGCTCGCGGTAAGTGGAGCCAGACAAGTCGAGATGAGAGATTGGATCTCGATCCCGGAGCATTTGGTTCGATCCGAAGCAAGATCGTCGTTCTCGAATTTTTCTCTTAAGCGATTATGGTTATTTTGGGTTGCCTTAGAGGTCGTACGTTTTCGAGACCGTTGAACGAAATGAGATACCTAGTCGTGTTTGTATCACGTCGTCAAAAATCAGTCGATGGCGTCTTGGGGGGGAGGTAAGAGATACCCCATTAGGAAAATCATTAGGGCGTGTTTTGGACCGCTAATCTGCGAGAAGCATGAAGTATCTATGTACCTATAGTTATATTGAATTAGAGGTAGGTAGCCACTCGGAGTGTAGTGGCCCTGGCAGAAAATTGTCATAGTTGCAATTTGAAATCATCGGTTAATAAGTGGCGCGCCGGACAAAACGTAAGTGGATATGGGTTTAAGCGAACGGTAGTAAAGGACTTGAAATTTTATGGCCGTACCTTTCTCAAAGCTTGGGAGGTTTAGGAGATTAGGTTTAAAAATAACTCCCGAAAGAAAAGCAAAGGGCTAGAGACGGGTCGGCGTTTTGGCCGTTTTGGCCGTATTTGCGAAGAGAAAAAGAGTAAGGAGCTATCTTTAAATCCAGCCGGGGATATTCCGTCGGTCGCAAGTTCGAATGGGGCAATGCCAAGATAAGCTGGGAGTTTACCTGTTTAGGAATGGTCACAGCGGAGTTTCCAGGTGCATTTCCTCCCTTGTTTCCGATAACCGTCTGCACCTGCGCCGGGGAAACTCCAAAGAAGGTTTCATTAGTTCAGCATCCAGAGCCATTTGAAGGTATTTGCCAGTAGCTTTTTTCCTTTCTTTTTCCCTTTCCCGCCGTACTACCGGACTTCTTCTCAATCAGGCATTCTCTTAAGTCCTCGCCTGAGCAACCGCGCGGAGGGGGGAGTATTCCTTTTACACTGTTTTTGACTTCGCTGAGGCCGTGAGCTGGACTTTATTTCCGACCGTTTCAATCCGACTCTCATATTATTGACTGCAGGTGGTCGTGAAGTCTTACCCCGGGCACGATGGACTCTCGGCCCGGTAGCTACCAGACAAGTGTCTTTCGAGCGCAGCCGACCGAGGGAGTCCAACGAAAGATCCAAAAGCGCAATCGTCCTCCTGTATCTTGTCTACTATGCCGGACGCGCAAGTGAGTGGCACTTCCTTGTTCCCCCGTATACTATTCTAGCTCATCACCCTCTGATAGGGTGAAATGTGACCGCCAACAGCCCTGTGAGAGGTGCGTCAAAAGTGGCGAGGCCAATTTTTGCGAATATGCGCCTCGTGCCTCTCGCAAGGCTCGCACGGATTCGCGGCCGCAGGCAGATGTCCGGGCTAGGCATGAGCCAATGTCTCGTCCCGTCCTGCAGGTCCGTCTCCAGAAACTTGAGGAAATGGTTAACAATCTGGTCTATACTACGCGCAATCGAGAGCCTACTCTCGATACCCCTTCAAGTTCGGACCAGCGAACGGAGACCATTGAGACTCGCTCTGACCTGAGTTCACCACCGAGTTTGGCGGCGTCCGGATCGGGAGGTCCGCTTCTCCCTACTACGCTTGGCGAGCATAGTTATGTCGGCGCTACTCACTGGGCTTCAATTCTTGAGAGTATTCATGATATCCAGGGCATTCTCCGAACTGAGACGGATGAGCCTCCTACTCCCTCGCCCCCACCGCTGAAGGACACCGCGGATAGTACGGATGTTCTCTTTGGCAAGTTAGTACCTATAACTCTCTCGCAGGCTGTTACACGATTGCCGCCCAAGTCCAAGACGGATGCGCTCATCTTGGTTTACTTCCGCCACAAATTTATGACCGCTCCATACATTCATACCACGAAATTTCAAAGAGAGTATGATGCTTTCTGGGATGATCCGTCATCTACTAGTTTATTGTGGCTGAGCTGCCTTGCTTCTATGCTATGGGTCGCTGCGTCGATAACTATCATGAGAGGCGAAAGCGATGAATCGGTAGCAACGCTCCCAGACAAGCTGAGGGCGCTATCAACCGAGTGTCTCGTATCAGGGGATTACCTGTCCGCCGGGCCTTATTCCATTGAAGCACTCCTGTTGCACAGCTATACGGAATTGCAAAGGAACAGGGAAATTGACTCCAGCTTGTGGGCTAAATTCGGACTTGTCGCCCGGCTTGCTCAACGTATGGGATATCATAGAGACCCCAAATACCTTTCTAACATCACGCCTTTTGAGGGCGAACTTCGTAGGCGAGCGTTCTTTTTCATCGAGGTTTTCGATGTCCTCTTCTCGTTTCAGCTAGGCATGCCTCCGATCATCCGGGACGACGAGTGTGATACCGAATCGCCTAGCAATCTATTTGATTCCGACTTTGATGAGAATGTTATGACTCTACCTCCATCGCGACCGGCTACTGAGCCCACTTCTACTTTGTATTTATGTCATAAATCAAAGCTGTGTCGATTGCTACGCCGGGTGATTCGCTTTGCACTATCAATCCATCCTCCTCCATACGAAGAGGTTTCCAAGCTAAATGATGAACTTCATCAGTACCGCGAGCACGTCCCTCCTTCATTACAAATAAAACCAATACGCTCATATAGTTTCACGGACCAGACCCATGACATCATGCATCGACTTATGTTGGAATTGATGTACCTCAAGAGCCTTTGTGTTCTACACCGCCCATATCTTAATCGCGAGAAAGACAACCCCGTATATGATCGATCACGGAATACGTGTCGAGATGCGGCTCTTAGGATCCTTGACCTACACGCCGAGTACGAGGAGGAGAGCAGGCCTGGTGGCCGAATATATGAGGATAAATATATGCTCTCAGCCCTGACACTCCACGACTTTTTAATTGCGTCAATGATATTATGTCTAGATCTTACGGAGAATCTACCGAGCAGGTGAGTTCAAGTCAAGGAACGCTCTTAGTCACTAGCTCACAGTTTCGCAGCCCAGCGGACCGATCAAGGAAATTGAAAGCTCTAGGGACGTCTTACAAAATGTGGGCCGAGAGAAGGCAAACTTCCAAGGATGCAGCGCATGCCACCAGGGTTGTGGGTGCCATTCTCCGGAAAGTATCAATGCAGGATCCTACAGTTAATCGCTCGCCGCCGCCACCGCCGCCACCACCAAGGCCAGAAGTTCGGGACGGATCGCTAGCTAGCTTGCTGAACAATGATGTTCAGCCAGCTCCGGCGCCGTCACCCCCATTCGATCATATAATACCATCTTTTGATTTTTCCTTAGACTTTGCTAATAATGTGCCGCTTGATACCGTATTGAACGGCAGCAACACAATTGACTGGGTAGGAAGTATCCCCTTAATGATACAAATTATGATACTCATTGATTTGTTGGCAGAGCGCAATCGACCAGTTCCTACTAGAGAGGGATGACGGCGGATTTAAACCTGTGCCTTAGACGCCGACCCGGGAAGCGTCGTTATTACTATTGAGACTTATACTAGATAATACCTAGAGTTTCATCGGCGACGGAATCACGAACTATACGCTAACCTACCTGATGAGTTAGCACAAAACTATTTAGTACCCAGATGTTGTAAGAGGCCGGTGGGATTTCGCAGCGATACACTTGTTGCCTATTACCGTATAGATATTTGCTTTGTTTTCTTTCGACGTCTACTCTATATAGATACCTAAGCGGGGCCTTCGAGGGCGATTTATTATAATGCATACATCGAGGGCGTCCGGGCGCCTAGTTAGCAAAAGAAGCAGGGCTGTTGTTTAAATTAGCGAATGATTTTATTGAAAATTGGGTTTTCTGCCTCAAGTGTTGACCGGTTGTCTTATGTCGTGAGGGGTAGTGTCTTGCGCCCCTTGTCTAGTTGCCTAGGACGGTGGTCTGGGGGTCAGTACTTGGTATCGTAAATATTTATTCCGTAAATAGTATCTAACTAGATACTATGAGCAACTGGGGAATTCTAGGATCACTTTCTATATAATAGTTAGGGTAGACCGACGTACAATATATACCTGTATATGCTATGTTTGAATAGGTAGATGTGTATAAATAAAGCACACATACATACCATTTATACGTTGTGTTTCGTAACCAGGCAGAATCGGACTTAATCTTGTCTGGAGCGGTAGGTAGGTATATAGTACTGAGGTGGCTATTACACCTGTAATGATCCGAATAGTCTCGGGAACTTTGAATACTGTAGTTTGGATTTAATTCTATATTTGTGATCTAATATGACGGGGAGAGGGTATCTATCGTCTAGTGTAACCGAGATATGCTGCCCCGACCCGATGCTAAATAGCCCAGTATATATACAGTACATAGTGTATAGTCCGTAGAGTACCTGTAATGAGGGAATTGGTGAAGCGAGCACCCCCTAAACTTGAAGTATAAGTAGTGCCCCCCCTTTTTCAGGTAGTACAAGTAGGACCGCAAGACCATCCCACGCAGTCATGTATGTCTCAGCTCAGGCTGTATCAGAAAATGCTGTACTTGGCTGGGTAAGCTCATGGCGCTCATGGCGCTCGTGGCTTATCCTGTGACCTCTTCGTGGAGACCGACGGCCTATCAATCGATCGTCGGGTTTCTCCCATCTACGTAGCAGGGACTTAGTGAACAGGCGTTGGTCACTAATGTCCGTGGGTTTTTCGTCTAACTTCCTCATTAAGGTAGCAACCCATTTCTTCTTGAATTTAGACACGTTGGTAATTTCCTTCACCGTACGAGCGTTCGACTCGAGCCCGACTTGCTTCAAGTTTCGCATGACCCTAACCGCTTCCTCTAGATAACCTTTCTGAAGTAGGGCTCCGATCACAGCGTTCCAGGTGACGATATTGGGCACGATGCCTTCCTTGATCATCATGTTGAGAGTCACGAGTACTCCTCGAGTGTGTTTATGATTTCTGAGGCCCGTCATTAATATCGTGTAGGTGTGGACCGACGGCTGCGGATGAAGTACGTTCTTCCCGAGCTTTTTCATCTCCTGGTTTGCGCGGTCATGCATACGTTGTACTATGCGGATACCGCTTTCGAAGGTTGAACCGAATTGCATAAAATTCCGCAAGAATGTGTCAAAAACCATAGTTCCCTGGTCTTTTATGATTTGGGTTATAATCGGATCACCCTTATTTAAAAGCTTCATGAAGTAGTTATAATACATTCGTAAAGGTCCTGTACTGTGAATAGTCCAGAAATGGACTCTAAACATGAGCGCTAGGGTGATGCTGTCTGGCCGCATGAGCAATGCATCCGGTAGTGGTTTCAGCCTAGCAATAAGTCGATCGACTCCTTTTAACTTGGGAGATATCTGCTCTGGGCGCGTGGCAAGTAGATTCTCTAGTGGGAAGAGAGTGAGCTTTTGCAATGGGGCGAGTTTAAAAAACTTCATGTATACCTGAACCATCAATCTCCAGGCGCGTGCTGTGTCCCTTTTCCGTTGTCTCCGCTTATTCTGTCGTCGAGACTCATTGTATTGGTATATGAAGTCTAAGACATCATTCACAAGGTATAGGGACCAGACTTTGCGCGCCTCGATTATGGTAACAATACGACAGAGCGATTCAAAATCTAAAGCATACTTTGCGCCGTTAATGAGAATCGAGAATATGTTAGGGTCCGGTTCGATACCACGTTCGGCTAAGAGATCAAATATGCTCAGTGCGACTTCGACTCGTCCGCGAATGCAAAAGTTCCGCATGAGTGCGGATAGAGTAAGTATATTCGGCTGGAACCCGGCGTCCAAGAGCATTTTGAATAGTTCGTCTGGGGCTGCATGGTCACCCGGTAAGTTACCCTCTTCCACCGAGAGGAGAGAGGTACAGGTGCTGATCGCCGCTGGCGAATTAATGTCGAACCCAGGACGGCTCGAAAGAAAATGTATGATTTCAGCTGCGTGCACTTTATATCTCGAATCACGGGCGAAGCGGCTCGCGAAATGTAGTAACGTGTTATGTTGTAACGGATGCTCGATATTTTTCAGGTCTTCATGAAGTTCAACCAACTTAGATGTGGGTAGTGAGGAGATGACTTTCCGAATCACCAGTTGCTCTAGAACCATATACCTTGGGGTACTGTTCTTAAGCAAGAAGAAGATGAGCTCGGTGACTTGCCGCTGGTCACTCTTGCTGGTCCGGTTATCATCTAAAGTCCGGGAAAGGAGATAAACTATATCCTCCACGACGTAGCTTGGGCACCATGAGGACTGAAATGTAGCCCGAATAAGACTGGGTATTGTGCCAAGGTGCGAAAGAAACGCAGATATTATTATATGCGGCCATAGGGACTCGCGTCTTGTTTGGTTTTGTCTCTGCCATATTTCCTTCATTGCTTCTGAGTCTTGCTTCCTCGAAGGTGTCCATAAAGGCTGCTTGGATAAATCGTCACCAGCTCCAGGGTCACTATGCGAGCCAGAGACTATTTCCAACAGCCCTATGAAATGAATTTTCCATGCATTAAAATGCTCGAGCCGTGTTCCAGCTTCCATCGCCGACCGCCCTCCGAGAAGTCTTTCCAGTTGGCTTATCGCATGGCGTGCTTCTCTAGGGGACAGACCATACGTGTGCATCAGATCTTTATATACGATGCTGTAGTCTCCCAGAGATTGTAGTATCTTTTTCTGTAGGTCATGAGGACCTCTGACTGGTAGGTCACGGAGTTTATTTAGCTCTGGTCGATGTCGAGGAATAAACTTCTTAAAATGGCCATCCCAAGCGGGTTGGCTCTCTGCAATTGGCTCGCCTTGATATGTTTGCGGAAACAAAGTTGGATCGTATGTAGGAAGTCCAGTCCCGTGGTTATCCGCAACATCGTATCCATTCGAGGGCTCCCGTCTTTGCTCTGCTGGAAAAGACCATATCGACTGCGGCGCTGCTGTCGAGATGGCTTGAGCATGTAGTTCGAAACGCCTAGGACTTATTCGCACAGAATGAGATTGGGAAAGCCGGGCTATGCATTGGCGACATATGAATGGTGTTGTCATGATCGAAAAGATAAAATTATTGCCAGTGCGGGCAGATGGATTCGATCGATGTGAAGTTGACAATTAGGCATTTTCATGACCACTTGCGGGCATAGCGTTGTAATTCTAAGAGAAAATAAAAGTGAATGCAAGCCTAAAAGTCTACCATTATAGGAATTTGGAGGTACACTACCTCTAGAGTGTCGATAGTATACAGAATCGGATATCGTAGGGCGGCATTTCTCTAGATGTTGAAGCATTTGAAGCATTTAACTAGAAGATCCGCTAAAAGTTGCATAGCAGGGGGTTAGTTTCCTTATCGCAGATCATATTCTTATCGATAAGTAATAACTACCGACTACCTCTTTCCAAACCGCCGTGTCGTACCTCTTGCCTGTACTTTTACTTTTTCTAAGCTTAAGCTTAAGCTTAACACCATTGTCGGCGCTTTTTTAAACAAGCCTTTGCTTCCTCACCATTCCGAATAAGACGAGAAAAATATAATTGACACAATACGAAAATACGAAAATGTCAACGTCACAAGCAACACTCAGCGCAGCAGCCGACGATCGCAAGGCGCGACTTGCTAAGCTCAAGAACCTAAAGCGCAAACAACCCGCCGACGAGATCGCGCCTCCAGAGTCAGAACGTTCAGCATCGCCACCTATAGCGCCCGCATCTGTATCCGCAGAAGAAGCCCAGAAAACCGCGGAAACAGAAGATGCCGTAGCACGTCTTCACCTATCAGGCCGCAACTATGACCCTGAGATGAGAGGCCCGAAGCTAGGGTTCGAGGCGCCGCCAACACTGGGCATGGAAGGGCCGACGCTGGAAGAACAGGCGGCCGAGGTGGAGGCCGAGATCAAGCGGAAAGCTGCCGAAGACGCAAAAGACGACAAGGGCGTCGACCTGTTCAAGCTCCAGCCGAAGAAACCGAACTGGGACCTTAAGAGGGATCTAGATAAGAAGTTGGAGATTCTCAATGTGCGAACAGACAATGCTATTGCGAGGCTGGTTAGGGAGCGTATTTCAAATGCCCAGGACGCAGCGAAGAAGGCGGCCAAGCCTGTGGAGAATGGCGACGAGGGAAGTGTTGAGACAGCAGGCATGGATGGTGTTGCGTTAGTTGAGGGTGTACGGGTACGAGAGAGGGAGGAAGAGGAAGAGGAGCGGAGAGAACGCGAGGATGAGGATAATGAATGAGGATATCGTGAGGAATTGAATTTGCATGGCTACGGCGTTTGGTTTACAGCATTGGGGAAAAGTGGACTCAATTACAATATATGTACTCCGTAAGCTTTAAGTAGAACGGGTTTTCCTTTAACTTAATACTATGATACCCAATCTCAACGACTCGTGTTCATTGCCTGCGTAAGAGCTAATCTCTTGGAGAAGGGGCTTAGACTGCGCTCGCGCTGCTCTCGACGCGGCGGTGCCCCTCCACGTCTTCGGTCGTTTCTATGAGTAGGTGTTGGGTCCCGGCTTGTCTGTCTTTCGTAGTCCCGCGGAGGGCTTCTGTTACGCCTTTTGGGTTCATCCGGAGATCTGGAACGAAATTGTCGCCGTTCGCGTGGCGGTGGGGATTTGCTCGGACTTGAAGAATATCTTCTGCGCCGATTGTCCGGAGACCTTTGTCTCGGGGCTTCATCTCTTGCATCATAATGACTTCGTACAGGGCTATCATCCCGTACTGGTGATCTTGACCGTCTAGCAAGTCCACCTAGTGGGCTGTCATTTCTGGTTGACCTCCGGGAGTTTGAGTCGTCGCGCCGATTGTAATCGCTGGCGGAACTATATGAATCCCCTCGCACGCTATGACTATTCTCTCTCCTAGGAACGTCTGGATGAGCCGCAGTGGATTGCTGGGCTCGGAGTGGCGGTGAAGCGGACCGCCTCGTAGATATGGAAGACACAGAATCATAAGAAGCTGATCTCCTACGTTTCGGAGATTCGTCACCCGATTCATCTTCCTCTAGTTCTCGCTTCTTCGCCCTTTCGGCTTCTCTCTTGGCTAGTTCCTCATCAGCCACACCTTTCCTGTAAAACTATTAGTGGTGCCTAGGTTTAGTGTCTCTAGGTAATCCATACTGCTTCTGTAAGGCATCTGGGGTGTCACTGGCCAGCTTTGGAACAAGTTTTGGGTTGAAGAGTTGCTGTGTCCGAGACGGTCTTGAGACGTAAGGCCGCTCTTGTGTTGTGGCTTTACATTCGTATGAGTAGTGACGTGCTAAAAAATGTCAGTAGGATTCTTTAAGAACTGGATTGGGTAAGACATATCTCTTTTAAGGCACTTTTGGCATTGTACACTCGTGGGGGTAGATTTTGGAGGACCCCGTCGATACATGGCTGTTGTGAGGTCGACTGGCTCTTATGAGGGTGGGATAGAAAGAGGAAGAGGAAGAGGAAGAATGACGGTCTGGGGTTAAAAAAAATGAACAGTGGGTTTGAATAGAATGAGATGGAATTGGCGTTTTTTTGAAATATTTTAATACGAATGTATTGTTTGATTGATGAACAACTCTTCGCAGTCCTTTGATGACAAGGTTGACTCTTAATGCTGTCTCCTAATATCTAGAGATATTAAGTAAGCTGGTAAGGTAGTTTGGATGTTACCTATGTATATTGTGGCGGTGCGAACAGTTTCTCAGCCATAAATCACAAGTTCCGTGCACCGTCCTACCTGACCTCATCTGAAACTCGGACAGGCAAAGTAAAGAAGGGAGTGACCAGCCGCAATCAGGGGACAACGGCTCCTACCGGCAGCAGGCGGCAGGTAAACTGAGGCGCTAACTCGCTAACTCGCTAACTAGCGCCTCCCCAAGATTTGTCCCAAAAGCCCTGCCCATTTTTAATGTTGCAATGTTCATAGACCGAGAACAGGCCCGACCTGGACGAAAGATTGAAACTTGATTTTACTTCATTTGGTTTTGGTCACGATCGATTTCCCCGATCTTTCAATCCATAACCACCAAGCCTTTGTATTTTCGTCCTTCGCATTTTGGAGCACGCAAGGACTTCACTGTCGCCCTTTTACTACTCGGAAAGGCTAAGTGCGACGGCGAACCAAATCTACAATTTAGGAAGAGAGGAAAGGTTATATGGTAGCCTCATTTTCCTCTTGGTTCCGTCACGGTCACGCTATATCCAATCTTCGGCACGGCTCGATCTACCTAAAAATATCGTCGGTCAGAAGAACACATTGGTGCCTGAGGCGGATGACGACTCTACCCAAATACGGATATACCACCACCTGCGCATCATTTTAGATCTAATCTTTTGCGACCGAGTTGCCAGTACGAGCCATACTTCTACCCTCCATACCTAGGTAGGTATTCTTCATAGGACTACGTAGGACTACATACATACAAATGTACGTGCAACCCGACTTTTCTCTATACACATACATACCTACACATACCTACCTACACATACACACCTACCTATATACCTAGGTATATTACCACTCAGCTATTATACCGCCTTCCACCAATCCAATCCCCATTTAGTTCCAGTAATTCCAGTAACTGACCTAACTGATCTGGTCTGGGCTTAAGCCTACCACTCCCCTTCTATTCTTTTCACTCCCCCCAATCCCGCATCCCACCCTGATCTTCCTTCCCATGCTGACGGCAGCCCTATTCTAGTTTCGACCACTCCCACCACCATTCTTCGGCACCTTACACATAGTTCATCATCAGTAGCTTGAGAACCTCAGCACGGCCGTCTGCGCTCCAATATTCGAACCTTGGAACCTTCCGATACGATTTCGAGATATCCAGATCACAACAATGATTAGCCAGATTTCGTACTCCCCGAGGGCTGCTTTTGTTCATTTTCTTTCCTGATTTCCGGCTATTCTGACGTCGTCGTACCGAAGCTATTGGTCCTCTCGATCGTTAAGTGTATTTGTTCGTTCGGGGCTCTAATCAGAACTTGCGAGATTGCCGTCGCCTTTCTTTCTGTCGTTATCGAGAATAAGTGATACGCCTTGCCTATTGTACTCGGCTTTAAACGCGATCCCTACGAACTATGGCGACCGCACCCCCCGCGACCGCTGGTCCTAAAAAATTGTCTTTCGCCAAGGTATGACTGCTCTAAGCTTCAGCTTCGCCTTCAGTTCTGCGCGTTGCTTCCCCTCCTGCCCTATCGATATTTAGCTGACAAGCAATCCAGGTGGTTGCGTCTAAACCTAAAGAAAATATACCCGTTGTTTCGGCTCCTCGAGTTGCTGTACCAGCTATGGAACATCGCTTGCAACCCGCTGTCGCTTCCACTACCCCAGTCGCGACGACTAAGGATACCACAGCCACGTCTGGGAATAGTCCGGTAGCTGCCGCCAAGTCTCCTCTAGTTTCTAAAGAAAATGGTATAGCCGTTGCTCCGCCCAGTAGCGTGGTGGTTGATGGTACTAGACTTGCGCAAGGCGGGAAGAACGTACATGTCTCTCTTTCTACCGCTAGCGCTTCGTCCACACCTAGTCTCATTGTGAATGGCTCCTCGTCTTCCATAGGCGAAACACAAAATAAGAACGACAATGGGGCGTCAGTATCTGATGACGCTTCGCAAAGGGCTGATTCTAACTCGGAGATGGGCACCAAGGCGCCCAGTATTGACGGGAAGAGTATTACTTCGGGGACTACATTTGCGCTTGATGAAAAAGAGTCACTGCGCCCTGATGATAGTGCTAGCGTAAAAGCGTCTGCAGAGGAGGACGAGTCCTTTTCGATAAGGGGGTCACTTATCGCTAACTCCCGGATTGGCTCTGAAGTAGCTCGCATTCATCGTCTTAGAATTGGCGATATGCCAGAGAGACGAATCGTCCAAATACTCCCCGAGTTGCAAGACAAGGGAATTGCCACCCCACAGAGCGGTGCTTCCAGTCAGCAGCCCCCAGTAGAGCAACCGCCGACACTGGGAATCGCGAACGGGTCGTCCGATGCCTTTACATCAATATATGGTCAGAACCCAGATGAGAAGCTTTTGGAAGCTATGCAATCCCCGAAAGATCGAATTTTCCTCCTACGGCTAGAGCAGGACGTTATTAATTTTGTTCAGACCTCTAAGTAAGTATAGATAAGATTCCTGTAAGCCTTTAAGGTGTGCTAATGCTTGACCAGGGAGCCCTATATGGATCTTCCACCGAATAACTCATTCTGCAGAATGTTAACCCACAAGCTTGCTGACTATTATCACATGACGCATTCTTTCGAAGCCATCCAAGGTTCTGTTCGTATCTTTCGGACTCCTTTCTGCCGAGTTCCTCCCTCCTTGGCTAGTATCGTGGGTAATGCCCCTAGTAGCAATACTACTACGACGCCTCCGCAACTCCTGCCCAAGAAGATCATGCGGCGTGGCGAGGAAGGTGGATCAGGACAAGCTAGTACCAGTCCATCCAAAGCAACCTCCGAGGTGGGAAGTGATGGCAAGGAAAAGTCTGCCACGAAAGAGAAGTAAGCATCTGACATATTGAACGCAGATTCAGTACTGACTGTACGGCAGGCCTACAAGAGAGGAGCGCGAAGAGGCGTATAAACAAGCCCGAGAGAGGATTTTTGGTAGCTCTGACAAACCTGGAGAGTCTACACCAGGTGAGATATTTCATATTCTACCAAGTATGTTAGCAAGCTACTAACTGATTTTAGACAATGACGACGCGAATGGCATCTCTCGAGCAAGTTCTGTATCAGCAAAGGATAAGTCAACCCTTGGGAAGCGAGGAAAGACAAGCAAGCAGCGAAGAGATGACTCTGAGAGCTTTGATTCCCGGTCACAGTATCAACCGTATTACCATCCTCACCAACCTAATTGGACCGCACCTCATTATATCCCCATCGGGCACCCACAGTATAGCAGTCCTGTGCAGCAGCCGTACCAAACCCCGATACCACAGGCCTATGCGCCGCCTGCGCCGCCCTACCCTCCCATGATGCCTAACGGCACATTTCCGCAGTACGGCAATATGCCAATGGTGAGTATTCTCTCAACACGTTCTATATTCACGTAGCTAACCTTATCTAAAGTATCCTCAGACGCAGGTCACTCCGCCACGGTACACTGCACCACCTAATGGCGCCGTGGGTGCTTATACTGGCCCGGTCCCGGTTCCGGTCCCAGTCCAAACCCCTCCGCCTCAACAATGGCAACCCAATTATACCCAGGCTCCGCCATTAAGCCCGTATCAAAGCCGGGCCCCCCAACCTCAGACCCCGGGAAACCCAGGGCCAGTTGGTATTCCCTACGCATTCGGACAGCTTCCTGCGAATGCCAACCCGCATGATCCAAAGAGCCAGCATCCTATTCCGGGGAGCTACAATCGGCATGCATTTAATCCCAAAACCCAGTCGTTTGTCCCTGGTAATGGCATGGTACAGGTCCAACCTCCGCTACCCCCTTATAATATGGGCGGGCACGGTAGCCCCCAGGTTGGGTCGCCTCATCTAGCCTATAGTGCATACAGCAACTCTCCCGCTCCACCGCAACCGTATGTAGGTGGACCAGGCTACGGGATGAGTCGGCAAGGATCTAACAGTTCGCTACCGGCTTATCACCCACCCCAGCCCCAGCACCTCCCTCAACATCCTCCAGTACATCTGCCCCAAGTGCCGGTTCAGATGCCTAACAAACCGAGCATTCCTCCGCCGACCGGACCAAACCAGACCTTTAGCCACTTACCTACCTACGGCAATCCGGCCACCCTGCCGCAAAAGCCACCCACTGGAATCTAGACCAAAACTCGCGCAAGGCAACACGTGCATGAAAAGTTAGCAAGCATTAGTGGTGTTTATTCTTTTCGGTGAGGACTTAAGACAGTTTTAAGGCGGATGGATAAAGGGAACCTTACAGAGACAACGACACCGGCGTAAATTGGCGGGTTGTTGTATTGGTATCATTGGCAGGCGTTCTGGTGTAGGGGTGAAGCTTTTCACTGAAGACGTTGATGATAGGATGGGATCTCGTCGATCCCCGTATCAGTGGGCATCGAAGTTGAAGGTGTCCGGTATTATTCCCATTCTGTTTTGAAGTAAAAGGGACGGACTCTTCTCTACAGTGACGGTAACTAGGTTACGAATACCTAACATCGCAAGATATAGTATTTGCTTTATAAGGCGTAGAGTAAAGCAAGCAACAAAGTTATCTTACACATTATTCCACCTTAAGTTTCAGTTATTCTACGAGTCAATAGAGTTATGCGTGTGATGGTGTTTTGCCGTGTAGGGGAATAAATAATAATTACTAGTGAGGAGTTTCAGAATCTTGTTTTTCATTGCTGCAATAGCATTTTCCCTTTCTAAATAAAGACTGAAGATATCCCCCAAGTAACCGGACGCGAACGCCTAGGACGACGACTTGCGCATCTTTCACAAGTTGCTTCGCGACCCTTTTTCATCGCCCCTTGCCAATGCGTATGCGTTTGTATATGCGGTAGGTAGACGCCGCACTGACGGCCCCTTTTGATCCTACTACTTCTACTACCACCACCACCACCACCACCATCACCATCGTTCTTAGGACCATCCATACTAGATTTTTTTCCCTTTTTGCCACCGCCTCGCTTCTCTTAACAACGCTAATAGAGTACATGATAAGCCCAGCCCGTCACAACGTAGGACCTACATCTCGTCTATTCATTACTTGGCTTCTAGGTTTGGGGGCGTGTACGAGCTTCACTCGCCGTTCTCGCGAGGCTCACGCGGCTCTCGCTGGCCGCCGCCTCTGCCACCGCCGCGGCCGCCTCTCTTGCCGCCTCGGCCTCTCTCGCCCCGTTCACCCCTGCGGTCCCCACCCTCCTTGCTGTCGTCCTTGCTGTCGGTCTTACCGCCCTCGTCGGTGGCTAGTATGGCCGTGGCTAGGCGCTGGCTGAGGTCGATCTGGGTGCGGATGCTGTTGGCCAGGTAGCTGACCATCAGCACGTCCTGGATGTGGTTGTTGAAGTCGGACTCGACCCTCGTGGGGTCGACCTTGGGCGCTAGAGACAGCGCCTCCATCAGGTACTGGCCCAGAGCGTTGTTAGGCTCGTTCTCCTCGTCGATGACTCCGCTTACGTAGTCGGATACCCGGTCGAGCAGGTCCTGCGCGTGTTCCAGGCTGCGGGTCAGCGACTCGATGTCGGAGATGACGGGGGCGGCGCGCGCCTCGGTGTCCCGCGCGCTCGAGATCAGGTCGAGAGCAGAACGCTCGGCGTCGTTATAGGCGATGCGGTGGGGCACCTGGATGAAGAGGCAAGACTCGGAGGCGCGCTCGGCATTGACAGCGATGGGAGCAGAGATGTAGGCGCGGGTGCGGACGGGGGTACCGGGCTCGGCGGAGACGGTGAGGTGGATGGCCGGGTGGGGGAAAGTGCCGGTCTCGGGGCTAGCGAAGAAGTTCTGGATGAGGGCGCTGAAGGAGTTGAGCTCGTGGGAGGTGGTGTACCAGCCGAGCAGGACCTCTCGGGGGTGGGCGCGCAGGTGCAGCGACAGCATGTTCTTCTGGTACTCAACGTCGACTTCGACCTGGTCCTCGTTCTCGGTATGGGGGATGGCAAACGACGAGGCTACGATGGCCTCGCCTCCATCTTCGGACCGGGTGCCGACCAGCGCGCCGATGACGCGGGAGGAGCTCGTCGGCGCGGGGCTGATATCGCGGCGGGTGGCATGGTCGAGGACGGAAAGGATGGCCTATTATTTATTACTGTTAGTTGGTATTGGTATTAACATAAGTGATAGGGACGAAAAGAAGAGAAGAGAGGAATTTAGACGGAATATAGACAAGAACAAGGCGGTAGGTAGGAATTGACATAGACATACTTGTGGTAGGATGTTAACGGAGAGCGGGGAAAGATGGCTCTGGAAATGCAGAGTCGTCGGTGCCAAAGGTCGCGCCAGATGAAGGAACGGTTCCGTATCCACGGCCATGATTGCGGTATTTTGGAGGCCGGATTTATTTTACGGAGGAGAGAAAAGGGGGGGAGGAGGATAACGACAAGTATCGTAGTTCGCTGTTCTCTCAGTCCAATTAATTGAACTTTTTTTTCTTTTCCCTTTTCCTTTTTCTTTTTTTTTCGCTGGCGACGTTGTAATTTTCACGTTCTGGGCGTAGTGGGGGTTTCGCAGTGGGTTGTGGGCAAGGCTGAGGATTTTTGGAGGGGACGCGAAGATAAGGATTTAAAGAGTCTGGGTTTACAGGGGGTAAGGGGGTATTTACGTAGCGATTGGTGTGGAGCGTTGTGAAGGACCCACAACATGAGGCTTGCGTGCAAGAAATTCTGCAAGGCTGATGGCGGCCATCAATTTAGAATTTCCCTTATGGATGAATAATACAACTTTAATTTTTAAACTCTAGGTTACATTTCATTTTCATTCTCATTTTCATTTTCACTAAGCTTATATTATGCGAGGTAAATCCAGAGGAGCCGCTCACCGGGGAGGTGCTTTTAGAGGTAGAGGTAGAGGAAGGGGAGGAAGTCGGGGAGGAGGACGTGGACGAGGACGCGGAGGAAGTTTTAATGGAAAAAGAACGTTTGACAGCGCAAGAATCATCGAGTCCGAGTAAGGCTCATTTTCCTTTCTTTCTTTTTCCATTTTAATGAAGAATTGATCATTAATATTTCTTATAGGGACTCAGAAGATGAAGCGTCTGAAGAAGAAGAACAGCTTCCATCAGACGTAGCATCTGAGATTGAAGGTTCTGGATCAGAAGATGAACAGGAGCAAACTACAGGCCGACCTTACTTTGCACTAATGCAGAGTTTATCTAAAGAATCATCAGCTCCAAGCGCCAAAAGAAGAAAACTTGACACTCAATCTGAGGAAGTCAAGTCCGGTAAACTTGAGCAAAAGGGGGCTACTGTAACCGACGAAGATGAAGAACGAGATGTCGATCATGTGGAGGAGGCGGAAGAGGGGCCAGAAAATGAGATCGAAACGGATGACGATGACGATGAAGATATTCCAGATTCATCCGATCCATTCGAGACTCACTTCGTCAACCCAGATCAAGACGAGGTGCAAAAGCGTCTAAAGGCCATTCAAAATAACGAGTACTCTCAGTCTCATTCCGAGAAGAATGGTTGGCGATTAATACGAAACTTTCCTGGAAAAGATGTAGCTCAACCTCCAGCGCTCCCGCCCCCTATATCCGGACCATCCAGCTTAAAACTCAAACATCGACTTGCCGAAACGGCCAACCGAAAGCACCCAGAATTTGACAAGCTGGAGCAAGTTTTATATCCATTAACCTTCGCCTATAACGATGTATTATTCTGTGGGAGAACTACGAGGAATGCCGAAAACTTACGCCGAATGGCATGTCTTCACAGCGTCAATCATGTCTTCAAGTATGTCTTCCTTGGATACCTTTTAAAGCTATGATTAGCTAACTATAATTCAGAACTCGAGACCGAGTCATCAAGAACAATGCTAAACTCTCAAAGGAAGTCGAGAACAGCGACTTCGAGCCGAGAGATCAAGGTTTTACGCGTCCGAAAGTACTAATGCTACTTCCAACTCGAAACTCAGCCGTTAATATGGTCAACATGATCTGCGCCCTGTGCGAACCGGGGCAGCAGGAAAACAGAAAACGCTTCGACGAGTCATATCTTGACAAGGACGCCAAGTTCACAGAGGATCGCCCAGAAGATTTCCGGGAGCTCTTCGAGGGCAACGACGATGACATGTTCCGCATAGGCGTCAAGTTCACCCGGAAGACCATTAAATACTTTGCGCAATTCTACAATTCAGATATCCTAATAGCATCTCCCCTCGGCCTGCGCATGGCCATCGGATCTGAGGAAGACAAGAAGGTAGACTTCGACTTCCTGAGTTCCATCGAGGTCGTGGTCGTCGACCAGGCCGACGCTTTACTTATGCAAAACTGGGAGCACGTCGAATACATCTTCGAGCACCTCAACCTCCAGCCGCGCGAGGCCCACGACTGCGACTTTAGCCGCGTCCGCGAGTGGTACCTCGACAAGCAGGCCGAGAACTTCCGACAGACGCTCGTCTTATCAGCCTTCAACACGCCCGAGCTCGTCGAGCTGCATCGCCGCTTCGGTACCAACTGGGCCGGCCGCTTACGCGTACAACCCGAGGCTTATCCCGGCGCCATCGAAGAGCTCGGCGTCAAGGCTAAGCAGACGTTTTCGCGGTTCGAAGCCCCCTCCATAGCCGCCGAGCCCGACGCTAGGTTCGAGTATTTCACCAGCGCGGTCATACCGGCGCTGACGAAACGCGCGAGGGGTCAGGACCTCAGCGGCACTCTAATATTCGTGCCTTCGTACCTCGACTTCGTGCGCGTGCGCAATTACTTCGCCACCTCCCCTGCCTGCGCGGGTCTCGCGTTCGCTGCGGTATCCGAGTACGCGGACGTGCCGGAGGCATCGCGCGCGCGGTCCCACTTCGCGAGCGGTCGGCACCAAGTCCTGCTGTATACGGAGCGCGCACACCATTTCCGGCGGTACGCGCTGCGGGGCGTGCGTCGCGTCGTCATGTACGGATTGCCTGACAACCCGACCTTTTACAAGGAGATTGTGGACGGGTATCTAGGGCGCAGCGAGAGGGAGCTGAAGCTGGAACCGGGGAGGGGGACCGTCAGGGTCATGTTCTCGCGGTATGATCTACTGAAACTGGAGAGGGTTGTTGGGTCTAAGAGGGTGGGTAGGATGATTAAGGAGAAAGGGGATACGTTTGATTTTGTATGAGAAAGTTAGTAGATAGGGGTTTATACATAGGCGGTTTTTGAGCGGTGGATTTGTGAATTGGGACTTTTTTCTTCTTTTCTTTTCTTTTTTTGTATACGTTGCGGTTACGGTTATAGTTATGGTACATGATTCGTACAACAGCCGTTGTCACGCCTGGCCTTGGAGGGGTTCAATTCCTCTTCTGGTAGGTTATAATGGTACGTCTATTCGTTCTTCTCCCGATACTCCCACGGCTTCGAACTTGAAACACTTGAGGTCGGTAGTATCACTACCAGAGCTTGGGCGTTGTAGATTCGGTGTTCCTAGACTTCCATCCGTAGTAGCAAGACCAGACCAGACCAGACCAGACTCTTCTCCCTTTCCCTTCTAAAACCAACCATACCCTCTCTAACTAGCAGGAGCCTCCGCCGAACCCTGCGCACCAGCATCCCGCCCGCTAGTTCCCTTGCCACCACCACCCAGCCGTAGCCCCTCCACCCTCTTCACCATCTCGTCGAAGGCAGCCTGGCCGCCGGGCCGGAACCGCGTGACTTTCTGGCGGTTGAGCAGGGTGAGGGCGTTGTGGGGGCGGCCGAGGCGCTGCTCGCGCGCGAAAGCGGCGGCCGTCATGGCGAAGCGCAGATCCTTGGGCCCGTCGACGAGCTCGAGAATGGCCGAGTCGCCCTGGTCGTAGCGGGATTTGGGCTCCGTTCGCAGGACGCGGGTGTAGCCGCCTGGGCGGTCGGCGTAGCGCTGGCGCAGCTCGCCGAAGAGCTTGGGGAGGAGGTTGTGCGGGGTCTGTGGTTGTGGTGGGGGGGATGGGAGTTAGCGATTAGATTTCTTTTTTATTTTTATTTTATATATATCTGCTTCCGAGTTGGGATTGCCATATATATATATATATAAGTTCGCTAGTGAGTGTTATGAGGGAGGGAAGAAGAGGGCAATCGTACATATAATATACCGGTTGCTTTCCGCCTGCTGGTTTCGTTGTTCCTCTTAGCGAGGGTAATGAGCTTTTCGGCTAGGCGCTGGGTCTCTTTGGCCTTGGGCCACGTCGTTCGGACGGATTCGTGCTGGACGAGGGCTGTGACCAAGTTGCGCAGTAGGGCTTGTCGATGGGACGACTTCCGACTCAAGTGTCGGTACTTGACTAGACCACCCGCCATCCTTTGTGTCGACGGGGTGACTTGATCTTGGGTGGTGCAATTGGGGTTTGTTGCGACAAGGCGGGATGGATGGATGGATGGATGGTTGAGTTGACGATTTGAGGATCAAATTATTGACCGGGGGTACAAAGTTACTTTTGAATTTTTGGATCTTTGGATCTGCAAAATGAATTATGAAGGTACATAGGTACCTACGTACTACATAGAATGACCCACATCCAAGGTACGTACCTAGAGAATAGTACCTAGCGTGACTTCGTCATTTGTTAAACGTCGAATTCCATTTAATATAGTAATACGATTTAATATTCACATAAGTCAAGTCAAGCATTCACCAAAAGAACCTGAACTTGGTTCCTCAAACAATCATAAGATACTCGTTTCCCTTGAATTCACAAGTACATACAAAGTACGTAATTGGTCTTTTATAGCACTTGCGCCGTAGTGCGCGTGCGCATATTAAACAGCTCAACATGGGCTTCACAACCGGATTCGTACGTTCTCACATGGCACCAAGTCTCAGATCTCGGATCTCAGAATAATAACCTAACAACCTACTTACTTACATGAATAGACTGGAGGTGTTACCCTCACCCTCTCAGTAGCTTACCTAGGTGTACTGGCACACCAACGACACCGAGAGCGCCAAGCTGCCATCCTGCGACAGCAGACTCGTCTAATATCCAGTATCATCGACCCTCTGCCCCCTGTCTTGCCACCCACGAGGGCCGAGCTTGCAGCAGCCGAGCGTGCCAATCTAATCGAGAGGGCTAAAGATCGTTGGAATGCTGAAATAGAAGGTGCTGTCCAATGGGCTCAGAACAAGGACTGGGAGGAGGTGCGCGAGAATGTCGAAATAGCTCTGGCTAGGCTCTGGGCTAGGGCATTTGGTGATGCCCAAGGACCTGTGGAGAAGGGTGAGGATGCGGCAGCAAATGCAAAAGCAGCTGTAAATGCAAAACTGGACCAGGGCAAGGAGAAAGCCATGAGTGTAGCTGCGGCAGCTAAGAGCGCATATGCGGATGCGAAAGCCAAGGGCTCTGAAGTAGTTGAGCAGACAGAAGAAAAAGCCGAGGAGGCAAAGGCCTCATTCCTAAGCGGCTTAGCAAGCGGTATCTGGAAGAGCAAGGATGTAGCTGATAAGACGAAGTCAGCAGTAGCAGGAGGAGCTAAGCAAAAGGGTGAAGAGCTTTTGTCACCACTATCTGAGGAGGAGAGGGCACTTAGACAACGATACCAGGGATCGACTGGGCTTGAACAGAGTCCGGAGGAGGTTCTAGCAGCAAGATATGCTTCGACCGGACGGCAAGATGGATCGCAACTAAAAGCCTTATAAGGGAAGGGAAGGGAAACGAGCGAGTTCAAGTTTATGGCCTACCTATTGTTCGTACAGCGTACAGTGTACAGCGTTCAGCATTCAGCGTTCAGCGTTCAGCAGCAAGAAAAAGCACTCGAGCCCCAAGTAACTAGTAATGGATGTACTTATGTATTATACGAACTACGACTCCACCTAGACGATTAATAGAATAGGTACTTGTTAGATAGATGCCTTATCTATCTGTTGTTACTATGGAATCGTATTGGCAGATGGCGATAAACGGCGGTAGAGTCGGGTACCTCGACAACAGCAACGGCAGCACGATTACTTGGGCAACGAGTTAATAATTTACATGCCTCGAATCATGGCAACGAGCCCTGCCCTATTATTAAATTCACTTTCCCCGCGCCGGTTTATTTTTATTTTGGCTTCGATATCTACAACGTGCTCAATCAATTCGGTGCAATCACTTGCTAATCATTAACTTCTAAGATTCTATCGCACGTCGTCTAGAATCTATTTGACAAGGTAAGACGACGTATTTCCTACATAGACGGTAACGATAAACTAAATCCTTATTATAGAATGGGAGGTAATTCCTATGAATCTTCGCCCCGTCGTGGTAGAAGTCATCACAGAACCCGAAGATCTACTTCTGTCTCCGGGGACAGGGACGACTCTGCTTCGCCCTCAAAGCACAAGAAACGAAGCCATTCTCATTCCATCAAGCAGAATGTTCCCATACCTCGCATACACATCCAGGCTCCTACACCTCCGCTCTCAGCCTCCAGCTCGTCGCATTATGAGATACGCCGCAATGAGCAATCTCGTCGTATACGCCATTCTCAAGCCCGCGAAACTCTCCGTTCTACCAATGACGGTGACAAGGACGCTAAGGATGATGATAAAGGGAAAGGAAAGAGCACAAGCAAGGACAGAGATGGAGACAACAGCAAAGGACGTACTGGTCGTTGCACTCACGTCCATCATCATCATTATCACGTTCACAACCATTACCACAAGTACTATATCCACAACGACAAGCAGGTGGGTGAACCTACTCATGACGTAAAGCATTCCATCTATGGCCAGCCACCCTTCGACCAGTCGGATCCTCAAGCGGCTATGAAGTATCAAGAGGAGCACCATCGAAAGCACACAGAGCAGCACCGAGACCGAGAACAGCAAAGCAAGCAGGAACAGAAGCAATCTCAGCCCTCCCATCATCGTCGCGATAGCAATGGCGTAAACAACCCTGGTCCCTCACAGCAACGCCCCCATCGTCTCACGCGTTCTCGCTCGACAACCGCGCAACTTCCAGAACCCGAATATCCACCTCACCCTCCGTCTGGCTTTGACTTTGACTTTGGTGCTGTCGCCGCCGAGCCCGCCGAAGAGTGGAAATTCCCCAAATCATTCACCTCTTCCGCCATCTACACATACCCGCACCACACAAGCAGCATACAGCAAGACGTGCGAAACACCATGGACCAAGCCGACGCATACAGCGCCACCGCCCTCGTGAACGCAGACGAAGAAGCAAGCGCCATCGTGCAGGCCAACTCCCCCCGCTCCTGGACCTCGAGCCCCAGCTCGGGCCGAAACTCCGTCTCCACGCTGACGAGCATCTCGCGCGGCGTCGTCTACAACAACAGGCGCGGAGGCCGCCGGGAGTCTTACGAGTCTGGATCGGACTCGGGATCTGTGCAGCGCAGGAAGTCGAAGAAAGGGGGTTTCCGTGCGTGGGTCTCGCGACATCTGCGGGACTGAGGGGGTATGGTATGTTCTGGTGCTATAGGTGCGGGTGCAGAAGGAGAAGGAGAAGCAGAAGATGACGATGATGAAAAAGGAGAATGGAAGAGACTGTGAATTCGCGGAGAAGACGTGAAAGAGACGAAGGAAGGATTGAGAGTGAACAAATGCAGACATAGGTATTTCTGCATGTATTAATGAATAGGAGTCGAGACTCGGAACAAGCAGCACCCATACAGACATGTCCACAGCATGACGGGACTATACCCCAACCATCAACCGTAATATACAGGCTACGAGATGAAATTGAGCATGAGAAATGTTGTCGACGAGGATGTATTTGCGAATAAAGGAAGACAGAAGCAAGCAGCCACTGTGCTAAACTGGCCCTCTTCTTCACATGTTTTAGCTATCAGTTTTATTTCTTTTCTTTTCCTTTCCTTTCTTCCTACTGTTCTACCGTCAGCCAACCAGCAGAAGACATGTTAATATTCCCATTCACTTCTTGTCTTGTTCTTTACCCCTTAGATAGCTACATAGGTACATAGCTACCTTAGCTACCTAACCTACCTACATAGCAATAATAATAGTAATAAAAACAAGCTAATTGCTTTCCATACATTATGACTTTTCTCCCTAGCCGACCTTTTAGATAACAACAGACAGCACATGGATGTAAAACGAAGAAATACATCCAACCAACTATATATACTATAGTTGCATAAATATGGTGTTGTGAATCTCCATTGGCATCGGGATGTACTTCAAAATCTTATTCGTCCTTGAGGGAGTTATCTCGTAGTAGGAATTTCAAGAGTGGTTTAAGGGGCAGGTGATGAGGGTACCGAGATAACATAGCAAGTATGAAGACATTGACAAGAGCCAGACCCTTACAAACTACAAATTAAGCTATACAAGAAACGTAGCACTACATAATACATATATCACTTCAGAAGTAATGTACAATCTTCACTCTATTCAAGCCAACAACACATCGTTCATTTATATAGCCAGTTCTCATTTGCTGCAACATATCCAAGACTACCTAGGTACATATTTTTAGCATCGAAACAGCATCTCAACGAATGACTCCCCCTTCACATTCTTCATATTACGTCCCCCCACTCAGCATCCGCTAGCAACGCAAATGAGTAGAAGAATGCATGGTATCCTCTAAATGGCCCTACTAGATAACTGGCCAACCAAATTGTCAAAATAACTGGTAGAATAAAAAGAGGAACCACCCAATGTCCATGGCAGATATACGCCTAAGATATCCGTAACAAAATCGGACAGTGATTCCGCCATTGTAGAATATAATTTTCAAGCATACCGCCCTTCATCCCAGCTCTATATTCCGTAGGAAGCGCCCGATGTTTTGAAATGAAATACCAAGTTTATACACGAAAGATTCCAATGTAAAGTTAAATTTGATTAATATGCGGTAGACTTCTTGCGGCGTTCAAACATCCGAGAGAATCCACTGCTCTTACTTTCGTTCTGGGCAGGATGCGATATCACAGGCTGTGGTGGTGGCTCGGAATCGCGTAGGAAACTAGCGAGGTCCGACGTATGAGTGTTAGCAGAAACGGCATCCCGTGCTTCGAATTTCTTCATCGGAACACGACCCATCGAGCTGCTGGGAGCGGTTGGTGGTGGTCTGGGATTGCTCCCAAACGTGTCTGCCGAGGTTGGGATGACGATAGGTGTATAGCCCCTGCTAGTGCCAGCTCGACTACTGAGGGACCTTGAATCAGCCCCAAACCCTCTAGGGTTTGAAGCTGATCTGATAGAGCCCCCGCCCGATCTTAGACGTGCGATCAAGTTTGGCGCGCTGGACTTTTTCTTTGGGATAGCAACGGGTTGAGGCATTGGTTCAGGAGGAGGGGGGTAACTGTTGAGGAAATCGATCAAGCTTTCTTCCTTCTTCGGTTTTGGTTGCGGCATTATATCTAATTCTTCGTCTTCCTCGTCGCTAAAATCAATAGCATAAGGATCACGGACTCGTCGTTGTGTCCGCTTCGGTATCATATCATCATCATCAAAGTTATTGCCAGAGTATTGCTGTGCCTTGTTCATTTTGCTCAAGAGTGCGCTTTGGGAATTCATCGACGACGGAGCTGAAGCCTCCGTAACATTCGTTGATGTCTCGCTATTTCGAATATTCGGAATCACCGCATCGATCGCCTTGCCTCCCACAGCACCGGCCATCTGCAATTGGTCTGAGTCCATGGTACTCCTGAACGGGGCAACGTGACGAGGAATCCGGGGGTTATTTGCATTGGTGCTTGGCGGTCCTCGTCGAATAAAATCAATAAGATCCGAGTTTTCGCTACCGAGGTTAACCGTAGCATCCCTAGCTTGGAAGTGAGATCGGTTACTTGAACTGGTCTGCCGGCTATCGATGCTCGCACTCTTTTTCACGTGAGTAGGACCCCTGGGACCCCGGATAGTTGAAATCGAAGCCGCGTGCCCTCTACTATGCTGAACGGTGCGCTCGCCAGGAGGCCCTGTTGATCGAATAAAATTGGCGAAATCTTGCAATGATTCCCCAGCGACTCGCGCCTCCCTCGCTTGCGCGGCCATACCTGATCGGCTTTTCGGTGGAATAGAAGCGGGTGCATTCGAGATCACCTCGGAGAATTTCCCGGCGAAAGGAAGGTCCGTAGGAGGATGGGAACCCAGAGGATTGGAACCGAGATTAGTCTGTTTCGTAAAGGATGCGGTCCTCTTAATAGACGAGGATCGTGAGCGCTCAGTTTGCCTGGTGTCCTCGCTCCTTTGGAACCTATTAGGTTTGGGACTTCCGGTATGCTGAGATGAACTAGACTATATATTCTATTAGATTAGGCCACACAGCAAGAAGAGTAGAGACTTACGTCAATATCCCGCATGTTTTCCGGCGTGAGGGTATACTGCAGGGTTTCCTGACTGTGGATTAACTGCTCAAAATCGCGAGCTCTATCTTCGGAGCGCCGAGGGCTTCCGTCTTCGGAGGTACGGACCGCTTTGAATTTAGCAGACGTCGAAGAAGGCGAGTCGCTTGGCATAGAGCGCGGCATCTTTGGTGATTCTGGCGTACCACGCCGGGCAGGTATATTTGACGCAGTATCGTTGGAACTCGACCGTCCATAAATGGGTCGGCTTGTGCTCCTCTCGAGCAGCGTTGGCATTGGCATATTCCTCGACGATTTTAAGGGAGCCACAGGCTTTTCCTCCAAAGGCGGTTCTGTTGTGGGGCCGCTCAGAATCGACACCTTTGTGGTGGTGGTGGTGGTCGCTGCAAGTTCATATACTTCTTGAGAGTGGACGCTTCTCAAAGGACTGGGATTCCGGGCAGGTTGGACTGCCCCAGAACTGGTCTCCTGAGAATCGTCAAATGACCTCTGAAGGATAACGGCATGCTTCTTTTCAGGTGTCGCCCCCGAATCATTTTCCTCAACAATAGGAGGAGTAGAGATTCTACGAGCAACCAAGGCGGGGTCCTGGAAATCCATAGAACTCGTTCGCGAACCGGCCGTCGGGCTGCGAGGGCTCTGCACCTCAATAATTCGTACCGAGTGTATGCTGCTCGTTCTTACAGGCATAAGAGGAGTAGGCCTGCCAGAGTCTGAGGTAGAAGGAGAGGAACTTCTTCCTCCAATGGATATTCTTGATGAGGTCAATATTTTTGGCTCTTCGGTAAACTCCTCAATTTCGTCCTCTTCAATTTCGGTTAGTGGGACAATGCTGCTGGCCCTCCTTGATATCGCAGGTGTAATGTCGTTATTGACTACTGGAATTAGCCCATCTGAAATAGCTTTTTGCCCCAGCGTCTGGTTAGGTTGCCCGTTCTCATTAATGTTGTCATGTCCGATATCCTTTGTAGAAACGCCATCCATTGTCTCCGCCTTATCTTTGCTTGTATCTTTGTGAGGCGGAGTTTCGATTCGACGGCTAGCGCCCGGAGTGGAGGGATATCGGGGGCGTTTCCGAGAAGGAAGAGACCGTACACGCCGAATTGATGAGTTTTCCAGCGAAGCTCGAAGAGACGCTAGCCTATCCTTTGTTGACGAAGACAATAAGATTAAACTCTTTGGCCGGCCAAAGTCATTTTCCTCCTCACTTTCCTCATCGCTATATATAGCCTCAACATCGCTGTCCGGCAAAGGCACTTCAGCTGGATCCGGTTTCGGAATTGACTTCGGGCCGGACTTCTGATCGGCTTTCTCGCCGGCCTTCTCGCCGGCCGTCTCACCGTCTTGCTCTTCCTGCACACCAAGTGCAGGATCCGAATCTCTAGGTGTCCGAAGCAACTGCACGTGGTCTGTCGCGGCGCTCCCACGTCGCTGGTTGGCCACCCCCGAAGTACTTGAAGAACTACGCGAGAAAGGACGAGAATAGTTAGGCTCTCCGGGTGACCGAATTTTCTTCTTCCAAGCACGCCAAAGTCGGCCGAGAGTTCGATCCAACGCAACACGCTCCATGTCTAATTCCTCAACAACAAGACGTTCAAATAATTCACCGCGTGCTCGCGTCCCTTCTTTCAACTCTTTCTCGCACTTGACGCGTAATCGGTTAAAGGCCGCTTGTCCGGCTATGACGAGAACCTGCTCACCCATGAATTCCACAATCGAGGTCAAGAAGATAGCAACTGCCGGGGATACAACATCGGACATAATGTCATCCGACTCGCCTCTGAGATGTTCTTGTTCCATATAGTAGTCTTCATCTTCTTCTTCCATATCACCCAAAGACGAATAAACCATACATCGTAGTCTCGTTCTTTTCCATACCAGCTCCAAATCCCAATCGACAGGCGCCTCAGTATTTGGAGATTGTACTAAATCATCAATTTCGCCGCCACCTAGGTATTCTCGAAGCTCTTCGTCAGCGTTGTTAATAGCATCTTTAGCAAGTTTCGGTTTTAGTACTTCGCTAACGGCCGGCCGCAGCGCCGATAGCGAAGTGGACTTTGCGACAGAGATTATGTTGAACAAGAGCTGATCGACAAAATTGTTGGCGAGCTGGAGCGCGCCTGGGGAAACTAAGGCAGTCTCTTCCGAAGGCCCAATTCCCATCTGATCGTACCATATTTCGGAATGGCTGTCATGATCATTAGTGACGATTTGCGAAGCGGCGGACGCGGCGATGAACACCGCCTCGGGCGACACAGAAAGAGGGGGAGACATCAGGTTGTGGCCAGCAGTAGAGGGACGGTCGCTCGAAATACTCTGTGTCCTAGAACGAACATGATGTCGCGATGAATTCGTGACAGCAATTGAGGAAGAGCTCGACATGGTGGAGTCGTGTGATTGGAAGGTCTCAATCGGAATGTCCGTTGTAACGGCAGACCCCGGGAGGTCGCCTTGACTAGGATGTGGCGACAGGTTGAAATGAAGAGCTGCAGACTCGCTGTCTGCAAAGAAGGCCCTAGCGGCTTAAGACACAATAGTTGAATTATCGAGCGGTAAGCGCTATAATAAGATGAGATGTCAATGGTGAGTTCTCAAGGGGAATAATAATAATACTGATAAAAATAAAAAGATAGTTTGTAGGAAGGATTGCACTGAAACGGTAGTCGAAGAGAGAGTACGAAGATCATTAGTAAATCGAACGAATGGCAGCTCGCAGGTGAAACATTCCGCGGGGAGACTGGGGAAACCTAAGCGAGTTCAAGATTTGGGTGAAGGCATGTTACAAATGAAAACTATGTCTTGGCTTGAGCCTTTGGTTTCTTCATGAGTCAAGAGTGTTAACAAGACATATTAGACAGCTAGTCAAGAAACGAAAAGGGAACGGGTGGGAGTTTTGGTAAGGCCCTAGATCATCAGTGTGATGACATGTAATGTGATGAGAATCAGCGTAATCAATTGGAATGACTGAGTAATTTGGACAGTTAAATGGCCACTGGACCATAAGAAGTGATAATTCCCCGGAGACCGCACAGCTAATTTTCTTTGATGGTGCTTCCCCTATTCGGTGAACAACATGGGAGAATGAGGCATCAGAGATGAGAGCTAGCCCCTGTCGACAAGGGGGTTCACATCTGGAAGTACTATGTAAAAAGAGTAGATCAAGTAGACAATAATACCAGATCTTACGATCCGGGTATCCGCAAGAGCCTCCGATGAAGACAATTAAAAGAAGCAAAACATAGTAATTAGCAGACATAGAAGTAGCCAACGTACCCTAATATTAATTAGAAAGAAGCGAAAGCGCCACCGAGTTAGCTTAGAGACTTCTTCCGAGTTTCTTCGAGTAGAAGTGAAATGTTCAGTTTGTTAAGATATCATGTTTTCTGTTGCGAAGGCGGGAAGGCTAATGACGTTTGTCGGGAGGTATTCAATATCGGTAATCATCGAGCTACGTGATAAGAAAGAGTCGGACGGATGTTGGAGAAAGAGAAGATGAGCGAAGGACAAAGGGAGAGAAGGAAAATACAGGCAGATAGAAACAAGAAACAAAATGGTGTTCTACTTTTAGCTTACCGGCAACGCGCCAGCGTAGGAATTGGAATTAATAGCTACATTTAAGGAATCTTCGAACGTTTTTGCGACTGCGACTTCCATTACAAGCACTATGGATGGGTGAAAGGCAGGGTACATCCCACCTTGAGAAATACGGATATCACCTACCCTTGTCTTTCATTACCCACATAGACTGGACATATGTAGTCTAGGCTGTAGTTCGTACCTAGTCCACGGTAGCACATCGCTTGCACATCGCCCCATATAAGCCGGGGCTACGAGAACATAATGGAGCTAATTTACAGCTATGTACCTAGTGTAGCTAATGTATGTAATTCCCTAAGCCGAGCTAAGCTCGGATAAGTTTAGTCTTGGCCCCTGTCAATGTTTGAATGTGTTTGCGTGCAGCTCGCTCCGGGGGGACTTGGTCGAAAAAAAGCCTATGTAACAGGTAGGTTGTATACATATATGCACCCCTGAACTAGGGTCTGAATCTTAAAGAAAAAAAAAAGATATCGAAGTATTCTGGGCCCTCGCGACGCACATCAGAACGTGCAGGACGTAAATTTATATCTATATACCTATCTTTAGGCCTTTCCAATGGGTATCGTTTTCGGTATCCAAGATATATAACTATTCGATTTCTTCGTTATTATTTTCGATATGTGATAACTAAGCATAAACACAAGCAAAACAAATCGACCCGGATAGGCTCCCATAAGGTTTGCGATGCCAAGTATACAGATGTTTCAAAAGTTGAACCTCGGAGATTTATTGTGTGTGCATGTAAACGTGCTACCGGTAGCACGTCCACGAAATGTTTACCCTTCGCTCCGATGGGGAGGGGTTTCCCTTCAACTTATACATCAAGTCTCCGTACATCAGGCAAGGTGTCACGTCACAACTTACGAGTTATAATTTACATAGTATAAACATCGAAAAGAGTCGTCCATCAATACTAAGTAGTGCCTTTTGAATTAGCTAGCTACCAGCAGCCCAAAAACGACGATGGCAATACCTAAGGGGGCTAGACCCTTAAAGGTGGCGGACGAACAGAAACGCGCCGAATTTTGATATTGCTCAAGGAACGGCGAAACCCACAGTGGAGGCCATGATCTCGTGGGTCGCGTGTGGGAAGTGGATGAACCTACATGCATACAATACATATTGGTGCCTGTGCCTATTCGAATCCGGTTGGTGATCCCGAACTACAGGGCCAGCCATGTGCTAACTGTTTATAAAATAATATTTCACAAAGCCAATTAATTCGTACATAATGAGTCGGCTGCGTCGTTAATTAACCGAGAAAAGGCATCAATCAAAATCTACATTACGGACTTTGAAGTGGTGGCTTGTACATATAATATCGCACTGGGGTGAGATGATAGCTACATTAGGGGCTGCGCCATCATCAAACATGTGTAGAATGCAACAGAGACATTCTTGAAGGCACAGTCAGACATCCAATGGTGGGTTTATAAAATTGAGGGGGCCAAAGAAATATAGCCTTGTGCATAGCATTTCTCGACTAATATCCTCCGAGCTTTGAGTTCCATGATGATGGCTGACTCTCTTGCTTCGAACAGTCCTCCAGTCTATTGGTGTCACGGCATCTAGAACGCCACCAAATAAGATGTGGAGGGATAGGCTCTAAGTTTCGTAGGATGTAGGATTCTAATGCTAGCCCGGGTTTCCAAAATATGTCTCTTGACGCAACCCCAGAGCTTGCTGACTGCAACCCATCTGACGTACATACAGCCCACCATATATCGGCATGTGTTATTTATGTCTACCGCGTGCCAAAGGTTTGCCGATCTAGAATAGCGAGCAGGATTCGCTAAATCCTTTACCTATCCATCCTACCATCAAGAGCAACATGAAATGACAAGTCGCATACTTTCGGTCCGTCTTAATGGGTACGTGCTATTTATTCAAACAACAAACGCGTGCCATCCATGTTCACTCGCAGAATCGAAGCATCTCAAGCCGAGAATAATGGCAGGCTACGGTACGATCTTCCCGATAGGCTCGAGCGTTACCATAAATACATATAGAGTAGTACACTACGGTAAGATTTAAAGCGCACGGCCACCGAACGATCCGAGTTAAGTGTCTGTATTTACTTCTTAACCGGTCGTTAAACCCCATCTTCAGATGGAGGGTGCTTATTGCAGCGTACCATTCTCAATCCTTCCAAGCCACCGTTCTGCACTTTGCCACAACAACCAACGGATGCTTACTGCATTAGAGGCGTGTTGCCGACTGCTGTGAATTGGGGCAAACCCCAAGATGTCGGCTATCCTTCGCAGCCACGTAAGATCTGATCTACGTATATTCCTAGTGTCGATCCCAACTACGGTGAATCAATTCCAGATATCTCACACATGATAATACATAACGTTGCTTTACCTCATCATTGAGGGTCAGATATCAAGAACGATGATAGTAAGAGCTATTAAACGCCGCAATCCGCTGTCCGGCTAGAACCTTGACGCGGACACACTTCGTAAGCAGCCGGGCCGGGCACTTACGCAAGCTTCCTACCGATCCGACCGATCCGTTTCGGAGATGCGTATATCCCAGCCAATAAGTACCTATATATCAACCTCCAAAAGCCAGTCATCCTTTCGAAGCTTACGATATAAGTGGTCTGACAGTTCTCTTTTCCAGAAACCTGGTAACCGAAGCACCTTACCCAGAGAATCCCTCAAGTATCTGCCTGATCGCTGTAACACCAGATATATATTTTAAATAGCGTCGTATGATTGTGGGATAAAGAACACCGATAGTAATATATCCTAAGTTAACTATTAAATATTGATCATCCTAAGCTCACCCAAGGCATTTTCGATCACTTATACTTCTACTATTATAACTTCTGTAGAGAAAGTTTCTTTCCCGGCTTGTGGTTTATACATACCATTCAGGATAATATATATATTGCTATCGAAGAAGTGCTTACGACCGACTAGTACCTACCTATACCCGGCCGGCGAAGCAACATTGATTGAGCTTAAACAAGGCTAATTTAGCGCACCAAGTACTTGGAACCTAGGGCTGGATTATTATAGGGACAATATCTACCAGCAAGATTGGGACCACGACGTAAAGGGATACAAGCGTGCCTATCACAAGGGCATCGACTCCTCAACTGCAGCCTCCCGACGACCAACGGCTTCATATAAGTACTGTGCCACGTTAAATCATTTCCACCGCCTGACCACCTCACACCACGTCTTCCGAAACAATAAGACGACTATTCCCTCGACGGGTATCTCAGATGGGCATTGCCGGGCTCCCAGCCAGCCACGCATTACAGCATCCTTCCATGCATCTTCGACGCAAGCCGGCTTTGGACATACATAGGCTACCTAATGCACGATTCCTCGCGGCGGGATTATACCTAGCCCTGCACGTAGCCATATTATTACCTTGTCCAACATGTCTTACCTCGTAGCCAGCCTGTTGTCGGATTTGCTCGCGTTTTGGGTGTTCTCGTGAATGTAGGACATCAACGCAGTGCTACGATGGTTGAGGAGTAGGTGGTATAGCGATGTTTCTTTAAAAAGAAGCGTATTACTAACATGTACTTCTCCTTGCCGAATACTGCCTTGTCGTCGATTTTAGTTTGGGGGCCACTTGGAACCCAAGCTCGAGAACTAGTGAATGGACTTGAGTCATTTACGAAAAAACTTGGGGGCTGTCTATCCATGCGTGTAATCGATGTAGCGGTGCCTTCATTGGCTATTAGATGGATACACGTCATTTATTTGTTCTAAATCTTGGGGTGGCTTGCGGCTGAATGCTTATTTCATGCATTTCGGTACCCTTTAGAGATACATCCATGTCTCACACCTATGTATTCAAGTACAGTGCTACCACCTACCTTGAGAACAGCAAACGGAGGCGAGAAAATACCACAGAGCCTACTCTGATAACCCATGATATCACCCTCGCTATAATCATGTAACCACATCAGCACGTGAATTTTAAGAGAAATTGCTTGTCACCACTTATATTGATGGTCATTTTAACCCACCAAACACATATTAAAGAGCCATAATACGCCCCTTATTACCACACAGACTCAGTCTTTAGGTGGAATATGAAACCTATTGAATATAATACTACCGTGAGAAATGAGCTAACGGTGCTCACTTGTGTATAGCGACTCCTCGTCCTCTAACCCCGATAACCTCCCCCGAGGTATAACGCTAGCTAGCTGATGAAGGATATAAAACAATATTAGAAGATGGGATATTAACAGTGATTATGTACATACTATGTTATCGATAACTCGACGTATTGCTTCGTCGCATATCTTCATATGTCCATTTACCAAGGGTATATACTAGCCTACAAGATGGGAGAAGACCAAATCAGCTATTATAGCTGGGCTGTCATTAGATTTTGTAGGAGAAGGTTTCTCTTCAATAGGTAGTAGGTACATAATCGTATGCATCTAAATCTCTGTTATACTTCGTGCTGCCTGAGGGTATGGTTTAATCTTTCATGGCACTTTATCGCAGCGGCGGCGGTTGTGCCGTTTAGGTTCTCTTTGGCCTTGTTAAGCGACTGAGAAGGGGTGGAAGTCGAAGACATGATTTTAGGTTGGTTAACTAGGTAGATAGTGATGATGATGATGATGATGACGATGGCCTTGATTCCCATTGTATCCCTGCGGAATCCACTGTTGGATTTTTTAGTACTCCACTAAGAGTATGTTGTCTTCCAGGGGTTTCCGCTGAAGGCCGTCTTGATGGACGACCCCCCGTTGAAGGCCGTCTTGTTGATGGGCTTCCAATTGGGGGCGGTCCCACTAGAGGGTGTCTTGTTGGAGTTGAAAGCCCTGTTGGAGTTGAAGGCCCTGTTGAAGGCTGTCTTGTAGAAGGGGGTTCTGGTGAAGGACTTCCTTCCGAAGGAGCTGTTGTCGAAGTACCCGAGGATGACCAATCATCAGTAATTTCATTGTCGTCGTCGTTAGTTGGAGCGTCATTTACAATGCTCCTCCACATATATGAAATAAAATCGTCTTGTTCTTCTGGAGCGTCATCGTAAGTTTCTGGCGATTCATCCAAACCTCTTAATCCAAACCTCTTAATCCAAACCGAAGCAAAATGTGTAAAGGAGGGCGGTGATTAGGATTTTCCGCCATGCAAGCGCAGACTACGGTGCACAGCGCATGATCAACGTCCGTTGGGGTTGGGACGAGGGCGGTGGCTTCGGTTCTATATCTCCTCCCACCCCACGTATAAAGAGATTCTTCGCTCCCTGCGTCGCGTCCACGGTTTAGGTTAATAAGTCCGAGCATTATCTATCAAGCCGTTAGTTTTTGATTAAGAACTAGACTACCTACCTGTTAGGGCAAAATACGCACTCGCCCAATGTCATAGATATTTTGATTGTCTGCATCCTCAGATGGGGGGTATTGCTCTGTGCCACCAAAGTCGATAAGCTTTAGTATTGGTGTAATTGTATGTTCGTCATCGTCAGGAGGCTCCCCGAGGAGTACTGTACTCATGTTAGCGAGTTTACCACCGCATATAGCCTGGGTGGTCAATATACTGTTGCCTTGATGGAGGTCGCCGTGTACTATTCCTGATAATTCCACGTTTCTTTGTGCTTCTTCGCGGGAATCGGGCCACTAAACCCGATGAATCAGTACCGACTGGTAGATACTTACCTACCTAAAGTACCCAGGTAGGTAAGGTAGGTAGATATTATGGATGTCACATACGGCCATAGCTATACAACACCTTACCACTATGCGTTTGATTAGCCTGATATTATAGTATATTATATAATATCAAATGACTTACGACATGTGAAAAACCTCCAAAGAAGACGGTTCGGCAACCTTGTTCCTCTTCCTATCATTATTCTCGCCTTTGTAATGAAGGAAAGGAGTTCTCCATGTTCCAACCATTCCAATATAATCCAATCCCTTCGATCCACCCTGCCGCTTAAAGGATTATTTGGTAGATTAATAAGTCTTACTATATGCAAGTTATCTTGCAACATCTAGTATGTTTTTTAATATTAGTTTTCGTGTCACTTGAAAATTCCATTCTCGAAAGTGCAAACCTCAAGGTGTCTTTTCTCGGCTACCAAGTTAGCCCTCGCACCTCTGGCTCCATTAACATGTTTAATTACAATGTTTTCTAAATCCGGGAGAATAGGGTCCTTGATCCGAACGCGCATCGTAAAGCTATAAGAACCGGTTCCAAGCAGCCCCACGGGTTCAAATCGTTGGTCCCTTAAAAAGACACTTCTAAGCAATGCGGCCTTGTTTTGTACCGCGCTACCTAGTCCGATATTTGCCATATTTATAATATGGCTTTGCTAACAATTGCGGTACAGGATTTAAAGATTTGGTTATTTATATAGAAAGAAAAAAAGACAATGGTTTATATACCTATACGTATATCTTGTATACCCGTTTTACTGTTCCTGTTCCGGTGGCATTGATCAAAGAACTTTGAAGCCCCTTTCTTAAGGCCACCCCTTTACGTGGTATGATAATGGCTTTATCTCTCTGCTTTAGCCACAACGCATGGCCCATGTCATTATACCTACAAGGTGTCAAGATGTAAAATTAAAAATATTTATGATTAACTAAAAAATAGCATAGCTAAAAAGGTATATCGAATCGAATTTTTAGTTTGGGGTCACTTGGGATAGCACCATGCTTTTAGATGCATTGAGCAAGCCAGCGCAGAGCTTCTCCATATCCCTGCTTATCGGCTACGGAGCACATGAAAAGCCCTACATTGTCACGTAGGATATTGTCAAGACCTAGCTGGGAACGAAGTTCGACATCTGATACAGCGTTGGGATGGTCGATCTTATTTCCTAGCACCAAAAAGGTAACATTGGCTAACTCATCCATGGTAAGAAGAGCCCATAGCTCGGCTTTAGCTTCGGCGAAGCGCTCGGGATCCGCGGCATCGACGACAAATATAATCCCGCTAACCTCCGGGGTGTAATCCCTCCAAAGGCGTCTGGCTTGCTGGTGACCCCCAAGGTCGAATGTGGTACACACAGTATTGTCGATACTGAGCTCCTCTGAAGTTGGATGCTGAGTAGGTTCTAGGGCGCCAAGGCGATCGGTGACGAGTCTGTACAGTAGTGTTGTCTTACCAGAGTTGTCGAGTCCAAGAAGAAGCAGCTTTGCCTGCTTGTCAAGGAAGCCAAGTGAGACCAAGGCTCCATGAATCCAATTAATGAAATCCATGATATCTGAAGAAACGTTTCAATGTTCTTAGAGAAGCAAGATTGGAAAGAGAAAGGGCAAATAAAGTCCTTGTTACTGGAAGACTATTTTAGCTCTCTAAGGTGATTGGACAACACATAATCTTATAGTTTCTGGCGGATAGGGATATTAAAGGCTTTGTTTATTTTCTGTCGAAGCTCAATATCTATGGTCAAAAACTACACACCTGAAATAAAACAAGGAAGACAATATTTTTTCTTGTTAACAATCGGCTCTGGGGATTTTCGGCCGCTGTGTGATAAAACCTCTCGGTTGTAACCTCACTCTTAACTGCCTTCTTTAGGATGAACTACGTTAAATCCACCATATACTTGTCGCCGTTATCTCGAATCTTGACAGCTTATTTCTTAAGGGCTCTTTATTAACCCAAAAGCACAAATCGTGCCCCCCCTATACATCTAGGAGCTTCCTCTGGGGAGGGGGTCGTTATTTGCTTTTCTTTATCACCAGTTATGCTAAACCAAAAACAGGTCTGGCCGCGCCACAAGAGGGGAAACAAGAGACACTCAATTTATTCAATTTCTTAGGGACCAGAGCATACCCATCGATCCGTGTATTACGACTGATAGAATCGAAGCCTCGTAGTTTCGACCTTTTAACTCTTGATCGTCTGTGATCCTCCAGCTTTAGAAGTACCTAACCTACGCTATTAACGGTCAGATATATTAAAGATGCAACGATCCTAGGTAGTCGTATCCTGTTCTTTTATCCATGCTTGAATTTATCTATCGATATCGAAGAAGATGGCCGGGCCACGACCTCCCAATGCTGAGGAGATAGCGTGGATGCTTGAGCATGCTGATGATAATCGTGGTCCTAATTTTATCGCTTGCACTACCGTTGCTGCGTTTATAGGTACCCTCTGTATTGCCTTACGTCTTTGGTCACGACATATACAGCAAGGCCGTATGCATCTTATGGCCAGCGACTGGTTTGCAGTGGCTGCGTGGGTATGTGTCTCTTCTTGATCCTGACGTTTATACGGCTAATCTTCTAAGGTGTCCTTGATTGCATATGTTGTCTGTGGCTGCCTCGCAACTAGGTACGGGTTAGGACGTCATGTTATCTTTATTTCCGATCTTCGTCTCTACTCTATTGTGAGTTTATATCCTTACATTCTATCTATCCCAGGATTTTATACGTAAGGATAAAGGTCCCACCATACCTTGAATTGTCATAGAATGTCGGTGGCTGGGTGAACAATAGCTAATCGTGCATGTCTGTTGGCAGATGGACATCCTTTTTCGTTTCTTTTACGTACCGGTTATAGCTTTCCTCAAACTCAGCATTCTCTGCTTATACAGAAATATTTTCGGGACCTCACGTTGGTTTAATCGCCTAATATGGGTAGTAGCAGCACTGGTAGTTGAATGGGCAATCCAGGACACCCTCACGATCTTTCTCGATTGCATACCAATTTCCCATTTATGGAACCCAACATCGCCTGCGAGATGTATAAACTCAAGTATCGTGGGAGTGGTGGCATATGCTCAAAACATCGCCATTGATATCGTGATCCTAACTATGCCTATTCCACTAATACGGAGGCTACAAATAAGTAAGCAGAAGAGATGGGCATTGGTTTTCGCTTTTACATTAGGCGCCAGGTTAGTTCAAACACTCCATTGCACGTCACTCTGCTCATACATCACAGCACCTGTATAGTGTGTCTCGTTCAAATCAAGTATTTCAGCGGTCTTAGTGAAGTCAAAATAGATGCCAGCTGTGAGTTTACAAATCGTATAATCTAATAAACTGAAAGTTGATTACCTTTACTCATCGATATAGGGGATTATATGGGTCTTAATTACGTTTCCGCCATCGAATGCATGCTCGGATTCATTGCTACTTCTGTTGTAGTCTACGGCCCCCTCTACCGACGCATCTTTCAACGCTCTACCATGTCCAGCCAAGGGCCATTGCTAGACGTTTAAAATATATCAGTAGGAATATGGAGATGGCGTTGTAATACATTTGGGTATGCCGTGGGTTAAACTTGCCTAACTAGTTTAATCTTGAAGTCTTGTGCAGGAGGGCAAGTACATTAGCCTTGCCACCATACCTATAGTCTCTACGCTGTTTATAACCGTGTAGCCCCGAAAGGAGTATTATAAGTATGGGTTATGATGGAATTAGGAATTATAACACTATCTTAGAGAATGTCTAAATATCTTGTCGGTAATCACTGTAATGGGTGGTAACTCTTTTACGTTAATACCACTTATTCAAATCACGACACAACGGCCGTCCACCTAAAAGATATTCATTTACAAATACTGGTTTCCTCACTTTCGGAAGAACGTACTTAAGCCCTGAGGCAAAAGACCTACCCAAAGAGGGGGACAAGTAAACGGTATTCACATCCAATTCGATTAAACATCCCAAACCCAGCCGACATCCCATTGCGGCAAACTATATGCTATACTTACGTGTAGGTAGGTAGGTAATGCCATGATTTTCAACAACACGCCTCTCCCTCCACCTTAGTTAAAACTCCACACAGACTGCCTACCCCTTGCACCACCACCACCACCTAATGGAACTGATCCTCCGTAACCCCCTTGCCCATCGCAGCAGTGCTGCTCACGCCCCCCGTAACCATCTTCTGCAGCTCGTCGACGTACGCCGCGCCGCTCCACTTCTGGTGCTTGACGACGTCGACGCCGCCCTCTATCTCGGGCTCCTGGACCAGCTCGCCGTACGCCCGCATGCCGTTGGCCGCGTACGCCCGCGCGAACCGGTCGCTGATGAGCGCCGTCGTGTGGAGACCCGCCAGCGTGATAAACTGCCAGCAGTACCCTAGCTTCGCCAGCCGTTGGATATATGTTTCTTGCTCCTCGCGCGGCATCGCGGTTTTCCAGTTGAAGGATGGGGAGAGGTTGTATGCGAGTCTGTGCAGGGGCTGTTAGCTTCTTTTTTCTTTGTTTCCCGTAACACAGGAAATTGGAAAAGGGGAAGTTAGGGGGTAATAGATGTAAAAGAAACAAACATACTTCTGCTCCGGCCATACGGCGTGTACGCCATTGGCAAACTCTTCCGCTTGCTTGTAATCCGGCAACTTGCTCTCCATCCAAATGGCATCGCAGTACGGCGCATACGCAATCGCACGGTTGATCGCACAATCACACCCGCCCTTGAGCCGATAGAAACCCTCCCTCGTGCGCGGCGCGTCCCAATCGAAGTAGATATCCACGCCCGTGATCCCATGCGCAATGGCGCGTGCCTCCGATAGGCTCTTGCCCTTAGCCTGTTCTAGATACTTCTTGACCAGCTCCTTTTTATCTGGCAGCGAGGGTGCCGAATTAATCGTTTCGGCAACGGCTTCATCGAAGCGTCGCAGGTTGGCTTGCTTTAGCCACGCGTCCTCGATAGCCTGTAGTTGCTCGCCCGTCTTACCCGCGCGCTCCGCGGCGATCATTAGGTCGTTTAGCGGCTGTAGCTGGGGGTTCGTGCTCCCGAGGATGAACGGGTGGTCCCGCGGGTCGATGCTCGTGGTGATGAGTGTCGCGGCCTCGGCGTCTGTGCGCGCGATGGCTACCAAGTCCGTGCCCATGATGTCGGCTTGCGCGCGGATCGCGACCAGGCGGTTGATGTGCTCGCTAATAGGCACGAGGACCTTGCCTGCCATATGCCCACACTTCTTGGTGCCAGGCGCCTGATCTTCGATATGGATGCCAGCGGCGCCCTGCTCGATGAACAGCTTCGTTAGTTTCATGACGGCCGTTAGTCCACCATGACCTGTGTCAGCATCAGCAATGATGGGTCGTAGGTAGTCGATATTTGCCAGCTTCGCGCGCTCGGATTTAGGTACGCTTAAGCGTTCTTGTCGCTGCTTGCGATCGTGAAATAGCTGTGCCATGAAGAGGTGCTTGACTTTGTTTGGGACGGTAGTCTTTTTCTTGTATTAGTATACAGACCTAGAAAAGATATAAAGGGGTAAGAATATTCTGACTCACGTAAGGGTAATCTGCTAGATCAGGTCCAGGCTCGTCGGATGAAGAGGCTGTTGATGATGATTGCCAACCCGACACGTAGACGGTATCTAGGTATTTGGCCATTTGCGTGACCATTGTAGGCTCTAAGCAACCGTATGTGTAACTGGCATCACGATTCTGGAAGCGTTCCTCGAGGATCTTCCATAACTTCTTAGACTGTGCGTTGCTCGGGTAGTCAATCTTAAGGTGACCTCTCTTAGAAACAATTTGCTCTGCTGTGAAAGGTCGTCTCGTGTATCTCCATCTCGGATCGCTCCACCACTTCTTGACAGCCTCAACTTCTTGTAGGAACAGCTCGTCCTCGATATTCGGGTCCACGGCCGGGTTGATCATGTTGTTTGACGCCATGATGGGCAAAGCAGGTCAATTATCCTACGGCAGCAATTTCTGGTGGTGATGTACGATGTTTATGACTCCAATGTGACGTGCGGGGGGCTTTGGAACAAAGAGCTTCCCTTCAAAGAGTCAATGTATGTATATACTTGCTAAGTAAGGAGAAAGTTATAATCAACTAGTAGCTAATGATTAGGGGGTAAGACTACTATTAAAGGAAGAAGATTCCGAGCTATGGTTACAAGTAGGCGAACCTATGGTATAATAGTACATAACCTAACGCGAGAAACCCATCTGATCTGAGCTGCAAAAGGGGCGTAACCGGCTTGGATCCATGACTCCCACGGATACGCATGCTCGGCAGCAATCGGTCAAGCGGCTATGGATGATTCCGTCATAGGGTGACTCCCACCAGCTACTGTACCGGCGACGCCAGGCCATTGGCCGCTACTCAGCACTCTTTGACCGGGGCGCCTCGGAACTAGACAAAGCATATGGGTGACTAGCAGTTAGAGCAGTCTTAGACGTCTGAAAGGAAGAACGCTACGGCTTCTCGGTTTAAGGGACGAGAGGGTCAACAAGACATGTGGATGTAAGTCTGGTTTGCCGTGATTGGCCGAATTGCCGAAGATGGAGAACGATCCAGGTCGATCCATCGAGACACGAACCCCTAGTCCCCCGCAATTGGAGAGCCGGCCCCGGGTTTGGGGATTTGGGTTTCGTATTTAGCATTTGATAATGACGTTGTCTAGTTGATGTAGGAGTCGTCTCGATGAAAGATATGAGATGGGATCAGTCCAATAAATATTTGATACAATAGTAATTCTAGTTTAACTACATGAATTTTTCAGTTCATATGGAATTCTATAAAATAGACCGGATAAATCGAAAATATGTTTATACACCAATAACTAATATATTCTAGAATATAGTGTACTTGCGTGTCTGAGTAAGGTGTTGGCATGTGAAGATCTATCCAGTTGCCCTAGTTAACTGAGGCAAAACTAGGATAGGGACTAGGATGAGTAACTAGCATGAAGAACTACATAACTAAGCTTACATTCAAGCACTGTATGTACGAAGTACAACACCACTCCCAGATAAAGCAAAGCTATCCCGTGCCCCGTTTACACCCGACCATATCTCCAGCCTCACCTCGCCCCGGACCTCGGCTGCGGAAGCTTAATTACGACCTCGCATTAGGTCATCGAACGAGACTTCCCTATGACTCGTAAGTCTTATAATAGTTACACGTGAAATATTAATATGTTGATGCTTTTGACATATTCCCGTTCATCTTTAGTACTATATCTTAATGTTCTTATGCCTTCAAAGGATCATACATTTATATCCGTCTGCTATACTTAACCTCTTCAGACCTCCACTACATTCCATAACGCGAGTAAACTTACATAACTACCTCTCTACATCGCTCGTCAGGTCTATCGTTTGAAAAACAAGCCTAACCACATGCTCCCCCAATAGGTAAAGGTAGGTAAGAATAAAGCTACCATTATACATCCTTATTTATTTATTATCTACCTAACCCGATGGACTGGTCCCTTAAAAAAAGAAGCTTAATCAAACAACTTGATCAGCGATAAACTTACCGTCAACTTCGCATAGCGTTACTAAATAGATTTTGCCTGCCTTAAAGATACTAACGTCAGATCAGCATGCGTAATGCAACCTGTCTTCCTCTAACCCAGCCCAACCAATGCAAAAACAAGATGCATGCCTGTCCGCGACTGGTACGTTGACAATATTATCGACCGAGTATTAAAGATGCTGATGCAATGCTCAAGTGCCGAACGAAAGAAATTGGCACCGCCATCACCTATTTTCGTTTCGCGTAACGGTTATATTTCATGCTAACTCTTGGAGCAGCTTCTCCTCTTTAATCTGCTGAGCCCTCTCGTACGTCTCGTAGGGTGTAAGCGTGCCTAGCGCTCTCTTCATTTCTGTATTAATGAACTGTAAGCCGTATACATAGCTGGCGTTGACCCAGCCGAACCTAGATAGCGTAATAATGTAAGCGCGATGTTCAATTTCAAATTTGATTTACATCTTCAACTTACCCTTCTTTGGCGACACCCTTGAAATCGAGCCCCTGATTTCCGTATTCGGCATCCACGCGGTGCGGATCGACCGGCCTCGTGACGTCGTACTTCTCCACGACAACGCCGTTGAAGTCAAAAAACGCCTTGGTAACCATAAATAGCCACTTGTATGCTAGCTTTTGTGCGAGGTCCGCGTAACCGTAGCGGTACAGTCCCGTCCAAGCCAGCATCTGCTGGGGTGCCCAGCCGTAAGGATAATCCCATTGCCGATTCGGACGCTCGAGGCTAACTGCACCGCGGGACTCTTCCGTTCCGGACAGGAGACCACCATAGGCTTCAAATTTGGGCACGGCACACTTAACCACCTTGGCCGCACGCTCGGGATCGGGAACGCCTGCCCAGAGAGGCCAGAACGTCGTGCACGACTCGTAGGTACATTGCTCCTGCTTCTCCGTGTTGTAGTCGAAGTACATACCTTTCTCCTCGTTCCAGCAGTACTTATGGATAGCCGCACGTCGTCTCTTCCAGCGACGGTCCCACGTGGCCGACGTCTCAATCTGGCCGGGCACCATGTCGCCAGCACACCATTCGGCCGGAATTTCTAGCTTATCGCCAAAGACGTTCCGGATGGTGCGGGCGATGTCCATCTCGTACTTGTATAGCAACGAGTTAAGATCGATGGTCGCGAGGTTAGCGCAGACCTTTTCAAGTCTGTACGAGGTATCGTGACCCGACTCTCGTACTGCTCTGTCGTGAAGGAAATACTCGTCTAATTCAGGCTCGTGAACCTCTTGGTGGTTATAAGCTCTCACGAATTGTTCGAAAGTCATGTTATGTTTCTTGGCATAAGGCTCAAGGATATGAACAAAGTGGGAAGCCTCCGTCTCCGGTGGCACGCCTAACCCTTCCGGCCGGTATCTCGATAAACCAGTCTTTGGATCTAAACGCGGTTCCGCCGTCCATACACAGTAGTACTCCTTGATTGCGGCAAGGAACGCCGTCCGAAGAAAATCAACCGCGCTAGGTTCGTGCTGAATTTTTTCGTAGACCCGAAGGGCCATATCTGTCAAGAAAGGTGGCTGTGATCGTAGTAGGTAGTATGATCTAGTCGCGTTGAGGATTTTGCCGTAGTGTTTAATACAGAAGCAGAAGTTCTGTACCATCGACTTCGCTAGGTACACCTTATCATTGACTAAAAGCCCGAGGGATTCCATATAGCTATCCCACCCATATAGTTCGTTGAATCTCCCCCCTGGGACGACGAACGGAAGCCCGCGTAATGTTTTCTCTCCGGTTTTAGGATCATTAACCTCCTCCATAGCAACAGCTAGAAGGCCGGGCTTATCGTTCATGTCCCGGAGTACTTCGGGGGTAATCTTCTCAGGGAGATATAGGACGTCCAGTCGCATCTCCGGTCGCTCAGCAGCGAGTTTTTGATAATACTCATATTGCTCTGGGGCCCCTGGCGGGACATAGATGCGAGGTCGCGGATCGTCCGTCCAATCCTTAGGATCTTTTGCTGCAATTTCGATGCTTGAAGCGTCGATACGACGGGTTAACCCCTCCCAGAATTGATTCTTGATAAGCCTCGACAGTCTGCTGACTGGGTTCTCGTTAAGACGCCCGATATCAAGAATGATCCGCTTTCGCCCAAACTCTTTTGCCATGTACAATTCTTGCAAGAGATTCGAAAGCATATATGTGCCCCGGATATCAAATCGATTGTGGCCACCGGATGCAGCAGTTCGAAGAGACATGACCTAGGTATTGACGCCTTAGAACCTATCACCGTGGAAGAGTTCGTAGTAAAAGACTTACCTTCGGACCAGCGTCCTCGATCGTAATTTGCTTGTTGCCATCTGTATCTTCTTGCGCCTGTAAACTTTCTAGGGTATGGTCGACATCGACGAGGAATTGGCGGGAGTGTGGTTTGCTTGCTTCATCTGGACGACAACGCGAGTTAGTTTCCTTCTATTTTGTTCAGTGAAGATGGTTTCGTACCATGACTGCCTCGTCTATGTGGTTCGTGCAGTCCCATACGCTCAATCTCCTGGATGATGCCATTCTAAGTGATCTTAGCCAGCGTACCGAATCAATCTTATGTGAAAAATCTTATGTGAAAATGCGATAAAATACGGTATGACATACTTGAGAATATGTGCGATTGCGCTTGTGTGATCGATCACCATGCCGAGCTTCGGAGGTGTAATATGTTCTCGCGTCATCGTAGACGCCCCAATCGTCACTTGCGCGAAGCCCGTCTCTGGCATCACGTCGGGCTTTCGCAAAACCCGGAGTCAGTAAATCGGCCATGGCGAGTTGGTAATAGCAATTCGCAGGCGTTGTGGGAAATAAAAAGGGGTCAAGGAGAAAGGAGTACAACTAAAAGCGGTACGGAGTCTTAAATGACAGGACACTCGCTCAATTGACGAGGGTACTTTAAATGTGGCCGGTGGGGGTATTCCGGAGGTTTTCCTTTTTTATCTCGTCGTAATCAACGGCCTGCTCTTCTCTTAAATACGATAGAATTCCGTAACGATATGCTCCCGTGACCAGCGGTTTAACCAAGGTAAGATTCGACGAGACGAAAGGGTCGAAATCGCGGGATTATGCTTGTACGTAGTGCACGCGGGGGGCGAGGGGATCGTGGGACGATTCTAGGTAAAGCGTTGTTTGGTAGCCACCACGATCGGATCAATCACAGGTCCTTGCGCACGTCACAAGGAAAAGGGACGTAAAGCAATCAACTAGGACTGGGAGGAAATAAAAACTCAATAATCAAGGCCAAACCAAATCAAGTTCAATATTACAAGAAGCTTGGTATTGGTTTCGGTTTGATTGGGAGTTATAAGAAGGTAAAGATTGGAGAGGTATAGTTAGGAATTAGGATAGAGAAAAACTTAGGTATGTTAGAAGTGCGGGCAAGGTACAAAGTGGTTGAGTAGGGTAAGGTAAGTTTATTCTCTTAGATAAGAAACGTTGGCAGAACAGTTGGCAGGGGGTATGATGTCAGACGAGAGGTGTTAGAGTATTGATCACATTACCAATATAAGGTTGCGGGAACGGTAAAACAATAGGTAGTCGGGACTGCTTCATGTAGTTACATAATTGACCAATTCAAGTCTTATAGGTAGTATATAAGCTTCCATGCATCTAAATAAACTTATCAATATCATATATACATTAGGTATATTCATATGTACGTATAGTCAATAACGAGAGTCAATAAAAACTATTCATCTCATAACACAAATATATTTCGATCCCGTTTCCCAGCCCTTAGAATTCAATCTTATTTCTGTCATTTTCCATTTACCTATCGAATATCAGGGTCTTTTTGACTGAGCTCAACCAGCTGCACAATGAAAGCATCAGCCCCGCTTAGGTTACAACCCCACCAAGTTGAAATATATTAACTTCCCCAGTGTTATCAGTGTTATCCAATGGGGTAGTTATTAAATCTTCCACGTCGGTAGTATTCCGATTGTTTTTTAAGGTATACCCCGTTTGTACGACGAGTAGAGTCACGATGTTGCTATGATGTTGGGATGGCATGTTTCACACGCCTAAACCCATCCAAAGGAACTCTTTCTAGTTTTTCATTGATAATAGCTACAGGACGTACCGGCTTAAAAAGAAAAAATCAGTCGAGACGGCCCGACAAACACTGGGGCATGCGCGCATGATGTCACATGAAATATGTAACAATGAATAAATTATGTAGTCCGTATTATATGGGAATCAATCACCAAGAGAAAAAAAATTTTGGGGATTGCGAATACCCAGCGTTATCTCTGTAAGACCCATCTTATAGAATTCTATCTGCATCCGACCTGCCGAAACCGCACTTCCATTATTTAAGCAAAATTCTCAGAATTCATCAGAATATCGCCACTATATGACGCCATATCATTTTTATCATTAACGCCCTTGCAGATATTCCCACATTTACCGCCCTTAGAGCTCTCGCAGCTTTTCGCGGCTCACCTTGTGGAGCTGAGTTGTGATACCCAAGCGTAGCTCATGCTTAGATTACTGCCGTTTAGGTAGGGCAGAAAACCTCGTTGTCTTTGACAGTTGTTCATGCAACGAAACCCACCACACACTAATGTAATATTCAAATTACCTTACTACACGAATTGAAATGGTTCTTCTTATCTTAATTTATTAACTAACAATTGCTTTTGTGCCTATTTATCACATACCAGCATACGTGGCGCACAGGGGAAAGGATGCGAGGAGGGGTGAGATGACAACTCTAGTCAACGATAGACTGGTCATGATAGAGTGTTTCACGAACTGAAGTATGAACTAGAGTCGTTGCCTTTTAGCAATTGCTAAAGGATACAACTACTAATATGTAAGAATTGGTAAGCATTGGGGTGTCAATACCTAAATTACCAAGTAGGTAAATATTGAGTTAGCAACTTGAGGGTCTCCCTCATTAAATACTAGGTTAGAAACTTAAATACTAGAAACCGTCAACGGACTGTTCATGTTTCACAGGTACCTGTAGTTAAACCTTAACCCTAAGTAGACTTTTACAGGATAAGTGGGACCGTGCAGTTTAGTATATTATTTCGCTTGATCGTATGGAATACAGATTACCTAACTTCCTCACTAGTCGAATTAATACATACCTCCTACCTAGGAATGTATACTACCTATATCAAACGGCCTCGGTGGATTCATCCAACCTCGAGTTTATATATATATATCCTTCTACAAGATCTTCCCTACTCAAATACCTAACCTACTCTTTTTCAACGTCAAGACCCGGATCGGTTTCCGAAGCAGCGCTATTGGTGCTTCTTTGCTAAAAATAAGAACAGAGGGGCAATCTCGACCCTGGCTTGACATGCCCAGAGTTGAATGGCAAACCGGTCTTTCTCACGATACTTACACAGCTGCATGCATGGAAGGTAGTATATGCGGCTGATGTGGCAAATGCTTGGTATGGCCATATGGCTATATGGCTCCGAGAGAGGTAGCTATTCGGAAGTGAGCAAGAGTTTGGCCAATGACTTGTACTATCGTTTTAACAGTATGGAATACTAATATAATACTGTGACTTATCAGATAGTTACTCCCTTCTGATCCAACGTATTGATTGCGACTCTTACACCCCAAATCTTTGTCGAAGGGCCGAGAGCTGCATTCCGAGAGCTGCATGTGAGGTTGAAGCTAACGAGCCAACCCACAGAGCGGTTATCTAGCCAATACCCAATATCCAGTGCCCAATAGTCAATAGTCACTATTCACGGCTAAATATCTTACTTTCGGATTTTGATCGAATGGTCAGCCCCGTCTGAAGTTATGGATTACTCGCGCTCCTTCAACAGCTGCTTTAAAAAGCTTAACTATGTGCTAAAACATCAATAGATTTAATCTTGAATCCAGCCACAGTATCCCAGTGGGTTCAATATAACGTTTAACATATCTCTCTGCCAGCCCTGGCCGATACGCGAAGCAATAGTTAAGTCTTCAGCTTCTCAGTTCGTGATACCTAGACATTCCTCCTTCGCTCTTGGTCCACTTGTGGCACGCAATAGATAATGCTGTGGAAGATAAGGCCCTCAGCCCTGCGTCGATAATTCCCAAGAGGTAGCCAATAAGCTGAGAACTCGAAAGCTATCAGCTAAGCAACCGAGCCGAAGAAAGAAGTTCGTTCCCAAATCTGTACATTACACCCGGGTCATCATGTCCGGTCTTTGAGCGCCTAGAGTTCCCTCAACCGCCCGTGCTTATCGCCCCTGCTCGATATGGTGCAGACTTACTTTCAATTTCTCGCGTATTCTTCCATCATTGATGTTGTGCGGATTGGTCAGCCGGTCTCGAGCCTCAAACTATCGAGTCTAGGCTCTAACGAATATAACGCCCCTTGTACCCAGCTCCATCCTCATTGCTACCCACTATATGCTTTCCAACCATCGCACGCGCATAGGAACCCGTATTAACATCGATACGGGGTTACACATTGACCTTCCAAGTGGAGAATTTTCCGACAAGTTCAAACACCAATAGTCTCTCCCATTTTATCATATCGTGCGTCTGGTGGCTTCGGTCTTGGCTCAGCTCTCCAATATGTATGTCAGTCCTGACGTTATCATCAACGGCATCACTAGAAGTCTAGCGAACTCTAGCCGTACTGTTGGACTAGAGGTAACATCCATTATATCTTTAAGAGATCCAATGTTTTATTAGAAAAAGCGATGCGCCCGACGCACAATTAGAATTAAAGAGTACCCTGTCGTTTATCGTTTTCTCTTGGATACGTCGCTCCTCGCAGATTTTGGAGCCCTTCTTATACTTTTAAGAAATAAAAAGGAAAAAATTTATGCCATAATTCTTTCACGTCTAGTAGTAGTCTATCGCCGCTGAGGATGGTAGCTCTTGCCCTTCACTACTAAGGCATGCGAGATGAACCCCCTCGGGACGTATACGGCTCCTGGTCGTACTAGGGGGGAAAATTGGGAAGATGATTATAGCGAGAGGTCAGCCTTCGGGCAGAACGATGCTGGCCCAAGCAACCCAAAATCCAGTATCCCGGTAGCAAATTTGTCTACCGGTTTAGACCCAGGGACAGTAACACCTAAACCCCCTTACCGAACATCACAAACACCACCACTATCGCCATCCATATTCGAAAGTCCTGCGATTGATTATACGGGTTCACAAGGCAATCTAGAAAGCGGTCATGGTTTCAAATCAGATATTATGTGCAGTTGGTTATATCAGCAACAATTGGAAAAACAATACGCCACCGGCCTGATGCCCGGGGAAGGCATCGTGATAAAGAGGAGCAAGAACAATTTTGCGTGTTATCCGCCAGATCTTCGAGACGTACCCTACGGCTTGTTCCAAATGGCGATGGAATTGAATGTCCGAGTTAGTATGTCTCTTGAACGTTGATATAAATGAGAAACTAACATGTCTATAGTGTGCCATGACAGTCAATACTCGGGTCATCACTGTCATACTTACCTCGAAGCGGACGACGCAAGACTATATCCCACTTCCTGATGGTCTCCGCTTGCAAGTTCTCCCCTGCATGCGTGACCTTCCGCAATGTCAGAAGCATCATTTTGCTGCATTCATAGATGATCTCAAAATTCTCGTCATCTGGGATGATAACCCGAAGAAACTTATGGCTAGGGCAGAGGCCTTGGAAGCAGAGTTGATGAAAGTTATCTGGGGTTCTGGAGGAGATGATGACGAACAAGACGAAGTGAGAGAAGAGAAGGGCGAAAAGAGTCAAGCTGCTGAAGTAAATATAACAGCGGTAGACTTAGAGGATGAAGGCAAGGAGGAGCCGAGGCCAACCAAACTCAGCAGTTCGGGTATTGTAGCCGTGACGGTGGCTCTCTGCGTAAGTTGCATGGGCCTCGGACTAAGGGCTTTGGCATTCGAAATTGAGACCGATGGCTCGTTTGCTCGACTAGCACTTATTGCCGCCATTCCGGTCGAAATGTGGGTGGCCTTTTTCTTTTTTCAGTCGCTGGTCACGAACCTTTTCCAAATAATGGGGCCGATATCTGCTGTCGACAAAAACTCGAGGTTCTACTCCGGAAAGCCCCCGATACGACTTAAACGAGAGGTCAACATTCTGCCTCATGTAACCATTCAGATGCCTGTGTACAAAGAAGGCCTGAAGGCAGTTA